TTGAGACTTTGAGATGAAACCATTCTTGAGATGGAGTGAAGATGTCATTTTCCTGCGTAGTTGTTAGCAGATGAAAAAGAGGGTACCCCGTATCTACAATCAATAGGTAGGGTCGGGTGCATAATGATGAACTGATTTCCTTGGGAAACTATGGGGGTTCCACATGTTTGTGAGTTCCCTGGTGGGCATCGTTGAGGCTTTCCAGAATAGATCTTTCAAACCAGGTAAGAAAAATACAACATATATGGCTTCGATATCCTGGGAACAACATCCCCACAGAGTCTATGCCGGTCATTCGGAGTGTACTGTGTGGGGAGTTTCCCGGCTGTTTTGACCACCAATATACCGCCGTCCACAGACCATCATTTGTTGTATCATGATCTAGATATCACTATAGGCGGGTACGTGTGCCAACTAGTTTTCTGCTAGTATGTTGTCCAATGTGTGAATTTGGGAAGAAGGATATCTTGTAATCAAAGACATTTCCCCCAAGCATCAGCAAAGTTGACAAGCGTGGTCCATGGAATTCGGAGCGATAATTCAGTGTTTTTTTCTTGGTCACCAATCTTGTCCCCATCATGTCGGTCGTTGGTGTCATTTTGAGTCCCTAGGCATATCGTCGACAAGCACTTCGAACACATCCAGACAAGGGTGGTTCTGCAGAAGCCTTTCGTCAAGTGCTGCATGCTTTTGAGGTGCTTTCTAGCATTCGGGCGCGAGCAAAGTACGATTCTTGGCCGTGCTGGGATCTCTATTTTGAAACTTTTTTTTTCCGGTGATGATAGGGGGTTGTGCTACCCAATAATCAATAAATCACAACAGTTAACAATATATTGGAGATTATCATAATCCATGAACTGGGAATCTCTATGAGCCAGCCGTTTCCCAATCAGCTGCTGACACTAGGCTCAAAAGTTTCAAGCGGCGGTTGTACGTTTACAGGTCGTTTTGCATAGAGCGTCAACCTGTGGTTACCTTGTAACCCACAGTCATCACCTCATGATGCCAGTCATCATGCTATCCCAGGACTTGCTACGACGTCAACCACGGGAAGATGTTGCCCCAGCATGCTTCCCGGAGCCAAAACGCCGCAAGACGACCGGGGAGGACCGGGCCAAGGCCTCCAAGGACGTTCCGAAAACGCCGAAAGCAAAGACGTTGTTTTCCAAGATCACCAAGTCCTTGATGAGGCTCAGGATCCAGCTTGGGCTTGGATGGGTGGCATGGAAACATGGCCTGGATCATGGAAGTAATTAGTAACTAGCTGCTGTCTCCTGGAGATGAACTGGGCAAGACATGATGAAAGTGAGATTTCAAAGTCAATTACATTAAATCTCATTGACCATTGAATGTTAATTGACCATTGACCATTAACATTATAATTGACCATTGAAATGTTAAATCTCATTAAATATCATGTATTTACAGTCCATTCCATTAAATGTTACCTACAGGACCTACAGGCAGCCGCCAGGCTGAGCCTCGCTGAAACAGAGACCACGCGTCAATATAACATATGAGATATTATATATATACGTATATATTATATTATACACATACAGTGATATAAGTACATATTGGTTGAATCAAAATTTGGGACCTCCGCAGTCGCATGTGTTATTTAATCAACAATTATTAACATATGGCATTTTTGTTGGTGCAGTGTGTGACTTGACTTTCATTTTGGCCCACATCCATATGACAGATTCTGAGACTTGGGGAAGCCCAAAAGCAATTGGACTCTTATTTTTAGAATGAGGCATTTGGGATGATTGTTGGTTGCATCCGTTTATCTCAAAACCATCAAATTTCAGATTTCTTCCTAATTAACTCCGTTTTTCACTGGTAAGTCGGTATAAGTCCCTCATGGTTGCGCTGGTACTCCCAAGGAGGCTGGCTTTGGCCATGACTTCCGCTCAGCGAAAGGTGGCCCTTTCCGATCTTTCCACGGAGCTGAAAGCAATGCTCCTGGATTTCATGACGACCTACGGGAAGACAGGAGTGGTGATTTGATCTGTGAAGGGACCTGAGTTTTCTTAAACAAAGATCGTCAACAAATACAATAATATAATGCACTATTAGTGATGTAAATATATGTAAATATAATATCATGGAATTTCATAGTGATGTATCTGTGAATAATTAATGGGATTTTGACAAACTATCATCAACAAAATACGTTTTCTATACATGAATTACATTTAGTGCGGCACATATGTAAGGAGTATGTTCATTGAGTTGCAGACATTTATTGAGACCTGCGAGCTAGCAGGGAAAGTCATGTCTCAAGGGGATCCATACGGAGTCCATCTCAGGAGTTCCGACAGAAGCCACGACACCGGAAGGATCTGAAGGTGCCAAAGATGCTAAAGTCTTCGAGGAGGTGGTGCTTTCGAAGATGTGAACAGCTTTTTTTGTTTGTTCCATTGGTGATTTGCTGGGGATGAATGGGGGTGTATATATATATATATATACATTATATGTGTATAACCAACTTAGATATGTTCCATTTGTGTTTTTTCTTCCATTATAGAATTCTAATTACCTGCAGGTGGGGTAAAATAAGCGATCTGAGTTGGTTTATAGCTATAGTATAAAGGATAGTATACCTGTATACCTAGAGTTTATCTTAATTCTAACAGTAGTATCCATAGGTTTCAAAATCAACAAATGTCGTTCAGAACCTGTGGATTGTCGTCCCCTGCAGTTGGATCCAACGCTGCAGTGTCCAGCCTCCAGCTCTGACGAGACGAGCGAAGATTCCAAGGAAGAGCCTGCTGTGGATCACTTGGAGCATCTTTCGGATGTGAAGCTGGTCATGTTTTAGCAATGTTCATCATCATTGATGTGTGTTGATGTGTGTTGAATTATTGTATCAATGATTGGTGTTTGAAGGTCAATATGATGTTTTAACGATGTTAATCAATGTTTCTGTTTTGCTTGCAAGGATATACATGTTTTTGTTCTGGCAATGTTGATTTGGTGCTTTTGGTTTTTCAATGTGTTTGTTAAATCCACGGCAACAAACAACATGGTGACCATTAATTGAAAAGAAAACACCTCAATCAGTTTTTGAATTTCTGGCTCCAATAATAATAAAATTCTAATTAACACTAAGAAACAACATACATCATGATACCCATAGTAATAGGAATGATAATCATCATCCTCATCAGCCAGTCAAGGACGCACTGGAGAATTCCTATTCATGTTTTCCCTGTGGGCGACTTTAAATAGCTGTGGAAAATCACGGTTTTCAATAGGTCAACCATTGGACTAAGTCGAATATGTTGGATATCCTATGGGGCTGTTGTTTGGTGGTGTTTGGGGTTCACCTTCACTGTCTGCAAGGAGCACTGTCTGGGTAGCACCAAAAACGCAAGGAGAAGCTCCTGACCTCAGCCTGGACGCCCATCTCTCAGACTCTTCGTCCTCTGCGCCCTTGGCGTTAGAGGATGCGGATGGACACGCGGGACATGCGACGCCCAAAAAGAAGCGAGCTTACGGCTGCACTGGGATGAACCTTGGACGATGAATGAAGCATGGAACTTTCTTGGGCGCCTTTTTTGCTCGCAACTCTTAGATATTGCTTGATAAATGGGTACGGTATATGGGTCACGTCATTTAAGTAACATGTTCAAGCCGCAAAATTGATCACCTGGCTTTCTTAGGATCTGAAACCATCATAAACCATCCATTTTTTGGTGATATGATTGACTCATACTATCCCATGTTTTTCTGGGTTGGAATGTTACCTCCGAGTTGTGTTTCACCCAACTTCGATCTGCATCCCAGACAGTGGTTTATAGCCAATATAAAACTGGGGATATTCTAAATAGTTGGGGGGCCTGAAATCCTGTTTTTTTTTACTTGAGACTTCAGCCGAGGAGAGGTGTGAGCCGCCGTATCGATTCCAAAACCAGCAGGGTGTCGTATCAAGCCTCTGTGTCCTTTGAGAATGTGATCTTTCGATCCAAGTACCGCCATGACATTCAGGGTGCACTCGACCATCATATCGTTCCATGGTGCATTCGTACGTTGGGAATTGAGGATACCGGGATTCAAAAGCTTCGAACCCCCAAAAAGATTCCGAAAAGTACAGATCATCACAATTTCAATCCAGTCTTGTAATAGGATGTTACTGTTTGATCTATTTGGGGATAACTACATTGGCGGGTATTCCAGTAAGGAGCCACCATCAAATTCGTAGATAAGTCATCGATCAGTACTACCTTTCTTCCGTGGCAAACTCCTGAGCCACCAACCACTCAGCTCACCTCAGGTGAGCTACGTTTTTTTTTAAGTATGAAGGGGTTTATCTGCAGCGTAAACTGGATGTTGCTTTCGGTGTGGTTTTACATGGCTGGCGTAAGGATTGCGTAGGATTGGCGTAGGCATGTTTCAAGGTTCCAAATATTTCTGGTTCGCGTACGCGACAATTTTATTGTACAGTATTTCAATTGCTCGTACATGATCGGCGTTGCAATCTCATGCTTTAAAATTGATGCAATGTTGTCCACAAAAGGTTCAAAGATGTTCAAAGGCACCAGGTTCATTCATGGATACTCGTCTATACGAGCAAACCGAGGAACCCGCCCGGCAGAGCAGCTACACAAGGGCAGCGGAGCAGCTGAAACCACTAGCTGTCCATGCCAACTGGAGCCTAGATGTTCTTCGCTTTCCACCTGCTTTTTGCTGTAAGGGCCATAAGGCTCTTGCTTGAGCCGAATATTTCACCAGATTTCTGCCAGGGGACCCCTGGAACAGGCGTACGCTTCGCGTAGACTTCGCGTAGGCACCGCGTAGGCTCGGGTGCGCAGACTGACCACCAGCCCGCGTGCGAATGAGTCCATATTCGAAGCATTAAAGTGTCCAGAACCGCCCTTCAGCACGTTGAAACACTTGGGGACCTGGTTGCTGGTGTGGGTGCAAGATGTCTATGGGCGCTTTGGAGTCTGGGTGCTGGTTTGGTGCCTGCTGGCTGGTGCCCCTGCAGGGCGCCGCAAGGTATGCCACTTAGCAAAATGTTGATGGGACTGTGGTCGCGTAAGCAAAAGTCCCCTTCCAGATTTCCAAAAGCAGCCGGGAGTGTGACGGCGTAGGCAAACAAGTACGTTGTGGCATCGTTTTACACGGGCGTTGGCCCTGCGTAGGCACACCTTCAAAGGTATGATCCGCGTAGGTTCCCACTGTGGCCGCGTAGGCATTGCGTAGACAGTGGCGTAGGCAAAGCAGGAATATAAGGGCCCAGACAACAAAAAAACACAGCTCAGGTGTTGATGCAGATCCGCAACGAAGTGGAACAAGCCATGCTGGATGCCCCCCAGCGGAGTTTCGATGAGATCTGCCTCAGTGCCTGTGATGCGAGAGCCTCTGAGCTCAAGGTGACTGACTGCAGAGACCCCAAAGATTGCTTGGAGAAGTTCAGGGATGCAAAAAACATGTAATTTGGGTGAACGGCAACTTAGTGAGCGATGTTTTTTGGTATAATAAATGGGAAAGTGGAATGATTAGTTCCAATTATAGCTGAGATTTGAGTGGTTTTGCAAGGTATCTAAGATTGAAGCCATGAAATGACATAATGAGGATGCCGCACCGTACCCAGCCATTGGTTTTCGGTACCACTTAGTATACTCAAATGGAATCAAACGGTCAAAACGTTCAACCCCTATCGTGCCAGGAAAGTTTTGGTCCATTTGGGAAGTGTGATAGCAAGATGGGGAATCGATGATCGAGTTGCAACCCGAAGAACATGAAGAGAAACCCAGAAACCCATCCAAATCCCAGAATATCAGGCCGGTTCCATCTAGATATGATTTCTTTTTGGGTGTAATCTTTCCTGTGCGTGGCTTGAAACCTTGACACCCCGCGATCTGGGAGGAGATGAATGCCGCATACTGCGTGGATATGCGAGCATTTAGTATCAAGGTGGGATCACCTAGCAGTAGCTGCCTGCGGGAAGTCTTGCAAGATCGACAGCGAATGTTGCAGGCAAGAGATGCTGGAGAGCAGGCTTTCTGTGAAGAGTTGCTGAGATTTGATGGTGAAATATGGTGAATGTCGCACTGTCGATGGTGAGACATAGGATGTTGCTGATGTTATATTTAGCAATGTTATAGATTATGTGTATTGAACTTCCAGTACTGGAACCAACACAAATCAATCAAGGATGCCAGGTGCTGATCGATCATCGTAAAATTAAGCAGGTTGTACAGTCTAACCATAGATGATTGATGCTCAGAAGGAGAATTAATCCCAAACATAGCCTAGCTGATCTATGCTGATCTGAGGTTTGTCAAACGTTATACTATTCATGAATTTATCAAGGTGATGATGGGGCAACTGACAGGACAACTGACATTTTGGGATATATTTGGGCCCAATAGAAATAGTGACCTGCAAAATGGATCTTCACCCTGCAAGATCCATTGAGGTTGGTGTCTGTGATGACGGCTGAGCGTGAGAACGTCTACAAAAGCCGGCCCGCTGTCTCTCTGGAAAGGGCCCAAGAGGTAGCGCAGAAGTTTATGGAGGATGTGCGCAGCAAGCGCAATCTGCGGGAGAAGAGGTTGGAAATGATTCAGAAGCAAAAGGAAGACAAGGACACTGGGAAAGCTGACTGATGAATGGATAATGATGAATGGCAGATGTTTGTTTGTTTGTTGTTTATTAGCCATTCAAATGGACACATATCACACACATGGACGGATGTTAGACAAATGGAGGAATATCACGTTGTGTTTTTGTTCCAAACGATATCTTTGTGGAGCGTTTCAAAGGCTTGCCATGAACAAGCACTGTGAACCTACAGGTGATGTGAACATGAGTGCTGGTTTCAACATGTTTCATCATGATTGAAATCGCTTCTTGTTTTGTTATGATCCATGTTGTCATTTGTTGTTCACCCCTTTAAACAATGGGATGATGCTACCAATTTATAGTAATCTTCATGTTTTTTTAATGCTATTCTATATAGTACCTGCAGATGACATGGGAGTTGTCGGACATACCCAAAAAACGCAAACTCCCATGTCACCTGCAAAGTGAAAAAACAGAAAAATGCATAAGTCCCGTGTCATCTGTAAAGTGCCTCGGAAAAAAAAAGTCACATGACATGGGACCTCTGCATCCGAAAAGATGCAAAACATGTCATGTCAACTAACTCACACACTGTACATTTCACATCCCATATGAACAAAGATAGTATATGAGTGTATGACTACCTACTAGCAGTTGGAATAATCCAAAATTATACGTCAGCAGTTAGAATATTCCAAAGTCACATGAATCCATTCACCTCCTTGTTCTATTTAGCAACTATTTTAGCAGCTATTCAGAAGCTATTTAGCAGCTCTTTAGCATTTATTCAGCAGCTATTTGCCAGCTATTTAGAAGCTATTTAGCAGCTATAACGAAGCTATTTAGAAGCCATTGATCAATTATTCAGCAACTATTTGGAAGCTATTTTGCAACTATTTAGCAGCTATTTAGCAGGTATTCAGCAACTATTTAGCAGCTATTTTGCAGCTATTGAGCAGCTATTTAGCAGCTACTTAGCAGCTATTTAGCAGCTCTTTAGCACCTATTTAGTAGTTATTCAACAACTATTTAGCAGCTATTTAGCACCTGTTTAGTAGTTATTCAACAACTATTTAGCAGCTATTTAGCAGCTATTGAGCAGCTATTTAGCAGCTACTTAGCAGCTATTTAGCAGCTACTTAGCACGTATTTAGCAGCTACTTCGAAGCTATTTAGCAGCTATTGAGCAGCTATTTAGCAGCTACTTAGCAGCTATTTAGCAGCTACTTGCCAGCTATTTAGCAGCTATTGAGCAGCTATTTCGAAGCTATTTAGAAGCCATTTATCAATGATTCAGCAACTATTTGGAAGCTATTTTGCAACTATTTAGCAACTATTTAGCAGCTATTCAGCATGTATTCAGCAACTATTTAGCAGCTATTTTGCAGCTATTGAGCAGCTATTTAGCACCTATTTAGTAGATATTCAACCACTATTTAGCAGCTATTGAGCAGCTATTTAGCAGCTACTTAGGAGCTACTTAGGAACTATTTAGCAGCTATTTCGAAGCGATTTAGCAGCTATTTAGCACCTATTTAGCACTTATTTAGCAATTATTCAACAACTATTTGCAGCTATTTAGCAGCTATTTCAAAGCTATTCAGCAACTATTTGGAAAACCGTCCGAACGGGTCGGAGCTGAGCAGCTGGAATTTTAAGGGATTTTAAGGAATTGGAAGTCCCATGTCATGTGGTAAATTCGATTTTTAAGGAATTTAAAGAATTTAATGGAATTTAAAGGAATTGGAAGTCCCATGCCATGTGATAAATTCGTTTTTTAAGGAATTTAAAGGGATTTTAAGGAATTGAAAAGAATTTAAGGAATTTGAAGGCCCATGTCATGTGATAAAATCATCTTTCAAGGAATTTAAAGGAATTTAAGGGAATAAGAAAAAAAAATCAAAGAATTTAAAGGAATTTAAAAGAATTTAAAAGAATTGGAAGTAAGTACCATGTCATGTGGTAATTTCGTTTTTTAAGGAATTTAAAAGAATTTAAGAAATTTGAAGGAATTTAAAGGAATTGGAAGTCCCATGTCATGTGATAAATTCATCTTTCAAGGAATTTAAAGGAATTTCAGGGCCTTTTAATGGAATTTAAAAGAATTTAAAGGAATTGGAAGTCCCATGCCATGTGGTAAATTCGTTTTTTAAGGAATTTAAGGGATTTTCAGGAATTTAAAGGAATTTTAGGGAATTTAAAAGAATACAAAAGAATTTAAAGGAATGTAAAAGAATGTAAAGGATTTTAAAGGAATTTAAAAGAATTTAAAGGAATTGGACGTCCAATGTCATAATGTCATGTGGTAAATTCGTCTTTAAGGAATTTAAAGGAATTTCAGGGAATTTAAAGGAATTTAAAGGAATTGGAAGTCCCATGTCATGTGGTAAATTCGTTTTTTAAGGAATTTAAAGGAATTTACGGAAATTTTAAAGAATTTTTAAAAGAATTGGAAGTCCCATGTCATGTGGTAAATTCGTCTTTTAAGGAATTTAAAGGAACTTAATGGAATTTTGAGGAATTAAGGAATTGGAAGTCCCATGTCATGTTGTAAATTCGTCTTTTAAGGAATTTAAAGGAACTTAATGGAATTTTGAGGAATTAAGGAATTGGAAGTCCCATGTCATGTTGTAAATTCGTCTTTTAAGGAATTTAAAGGGACTTTGATGAATTTAAAGGAATTTTAAAGAATTTAAACGAATTTCAAGGAATGCAAAAGAAATTAAAGGATTTTAAAGGAATTTAAAGGAATTTTCAAGAATTTTAAGGAATTGGAAGTCCCATGTCATGTATCTTTTAAGGAATGTAAAGGAATTTAATGGAATTTAAAGGAATGTAAAGGAATTTCCAAGAATTTAAAGGTATTAAAAAGAATTTTAAGTAATTTTAAGGAACTGGAAGTCCCATGTCATGTGTTAAATTCATCTTTCAAGGAATTTAAAGGAATTTAAGGGAATTAAAAAAAAAATAAAATGAAGTTCACAGAATTTAAAGGGATTTAAACGAATTTAAAGGAATTGGAAGTACCATGTCATGTGGTAAATTCGTCTTTTAAGTAATTTAAAGGAATTTAAGGGAATTTGAAGGAATTTAAAATATTTTAAAGGAATTGAAAGGAATTTCAAAGAATTTTAAGGATTTGGAAGTCCCATGTCATGTGGTAAATTCGTCTTTTAAGGAATTTATAGGAATTTGAAGGAATTTGAATGAATTCAAAGCAATTTTAAAGAATTTTCAGGAATTTAAAGGAATTTAAATGAATTTAAAGGAATTTAAAGGACTTTTAAGGCGTTTTAAGGAATTTAAAAGAATTGAAAAGATTTTAGAGGCATTTAAAGGAATTTACCTATCATTTCCCATCTTGGATGTCTGTGTCTTCCTGGAAGTCCCATGTCATGTGTAAATTTGATCACTTATTCCCATGTCATCTGTCAATAAAATGGAAAAATACCTGCCCGGTCGGTCGGCCCATAACTCCCAGGTCATGTGTAAAAAAAACATAGCAAAATCGATACATAAATCCCATGTCATGTGCCAAAAAACCTCGGCCAAATTGGCCGCAAAGTCCCGTGTCATCTGCGCCTAGTATAATTATTGAGATCAACATGAATTGAGGGCATCCCCAAATAGAATATGGTTGGTTATGTGAATAACCGACACAATTATTGTAATACTAATTTAGTCTTGCTTCGCCTTGGCCTTTCCCAGGTTGCACAAAACCTTCATAACCGATGGGGGACGACCCTATACCGATACCGCATTTGTGATACCTCCGGGAATACTGAAATCCTCACAAGCGATAGGGGACGACTCTAATTTGTGCATGGCATTAGATTTAACATATAATATATTGTCCGCTACTCTATAATTTTATTATAATTGATATATAGAATATGTATGTATAATTATAATTATATCCCATGATATCCACTATTTTAGTAGGGTTTGCTTTTCTGTTCCTTGTTGGGGAGGGGATTGCTATACTCTCCTGGACAGCGGGCCCCAACATTCAGGAGACCAGGGCCCAAGAACGGCGTCAGCGACGTTTGGAGAGGACTGCCGACTGCTGATGTGCCAAGTTGCTGTGAGTTGCTGGAAGTTCATCATCTTCCAGATTCCATGGATTCGTCACATTTGTTCCTTTACCCTCTGGTAAACGTTTACATTAAACTATATGGAAATGATCACCATGCTATTAATGGGACAACTCACTATTCGACTGGGCCATTTTCAATAGCTATGTTCAATTACCAGAGGGTAAATCCCATAAAAATCCCATTAAAATCCCATTTTCAATAGATATCTTAGTTTATCATCAATAGATAACATCAAACATCATGAAACCTTTCCTAAAAACGAATACATGAAATGGTGAACTCCGCATGTTTTACGATATTGGGCAAGTGCCCTTAGAGTGCCACGGGCAGCTATAAGTTGGTAACTCCTAAAGCAATAACATGCAATAACCTACTATATATCCTAGTTAGTTATAGAACCTATATAAGACTAAGTTAGTTATATAATGTTATATAACTTGGTTGGTTGGGTTGATGTTATATAAGCAACTTATAACTTATGTTGAACTCATCAACCCCAACAGTTCAATCTCGTAAAAAAAAAAAAGCTGATCCAATTGGGAGGACCAACTCAGACCAAGCAGATCAGTGGTTGATGAAGAGAACAGAAGTTATATAATGGTTGATTTATAACAAAATAACCATAAATCAACCATTTATAACTTATAACTTACAACCATATTTATAGCCACTTGTCACAGGTATGTCGGGCTTGAACAGCCATCCCGCAGGAAGACCATGACTTTGCAACAGCGCTGGTTGTGCGCCACAGCCCTGGCTGAGCGACGCTTGACCGCCATGACCAAGCGGCGGTTGAAGCAGGAGTGGGGTGAACGAGAAGTCAAGAGCGAAATCCCAACTTATGATGGGGGTCAAAATCCCATGGTTATCTGGTTGGTGGTTTGGAACATGAATTTTACTTTTCCATATATTGGGAGTAATAATCCCAACTGACTAATATATATATATTTTTTTTCGGAGGTGTTGAAACCACCAACCAGTTATAATCATCATTAAATATTGGAACATATTAATGGTAACAATGGTTATACTCATAAACATCACACAACATAACTATTGAACATGGCAATAGAAAGTTTGTTGATGAACCGTTTTAGACATGGTGATTTCCAGTTCGCAAGCTGTTAGTTTACTGTACCAAAGGGTAATCCCAACTGATGGGGTTAACATCCCATTGTTATACATTGTTATACTATACCCATTACTGGTAACAATGGTTGTACCCATCAATTTTTAATCATCATTAATAACCAATATTAAGTTTAGTAAAGGGAATCATCCCCCATATGACCTTATTCTACCCTACTTCAGGTTACTGAAATATTATATGTAATTTATCCAGATGGTTTATCTTCCACATAAACGTGTTGACTTGCTTCTCAGCCCTGAAATAAAGGGAATGGTCATGAATTCTTTCAAAGGGGTTGATATACCCAGCACAAAAACCCCCAATGATGATGGGATGACCATAAACCATATACAATGTTTTGACGATATGGGGACAGACTGTAATTGAGAGTGTTGCTTGATGATTATCATTTTATGCGGAAAAAAGGTGGAAAACCAGCCGTAGAATTGGAACTTCAAGGGATTTCACCAATGGCTCACGGTTGTTGGAAGTGTTTGGTTGGGAACCGCGGGACTCAAGAACATTTATGGACAGTAAATTTCCAACAAGCAAACAAGCAACTAGACAAACAAGAACACCAACTTTCAAGTGCAAAACAGTATTGGTCCCAACATTCAGAAGCTCTTAAAAAGGACATGGTTGGACCCCCCTGTCCTGATGTCAACGAACTATGCATCCAGGAGAAACGCGAAGTGAGAGCCATGCGGCTGGAGGACAGAAGATTAAAAAGACCAAAATGTTACCATGGGGGATTGTGATAGATATAGTAATAGTAATAATGATGGTGATGATGATGATGATGATATGATGATATGATGACAATATGATGATAAAACGTTGATGATATGATCATAACAATGATGATAGTATAATGATAATACCATAATAATATAATAATATGGTAATGATGCTGATAATAGTGATGATAATGTGATAAGTGTTTTTTTAGAAAAAACAAACAAACAACATGATTGATGATATATAATATGATAATAATCATGGTAAAGACTATGACCTTCACACTAGCCGGCTACCCTCCGGTGTCATCAAACATGGTTTGCCGGAAGATTCACTTTCCATGAAAAACCTGCATTGAAAAAGGAAATTTCCCATTGCCACATTTGAATATCAAAACATCAGAGGGTACCTTCTGGTTATTTAACGTAGCCATGGAATAGATGGCCCATTTATAGATGGTTTACCTATTAAAAATGGTGATTTTCCATGGCTATGTGTACACATTTCGAACTTTTTTTAATCTGTCTTCCAGAAAAAGTCGAAATTCGTTGTTTTGTAATGTTTTTTCTTGCAGAGACGCATCGAACATTTGACAACTAAATCAATGTTTTCCAGATTCTATCCCTTAAACCAATCAATTGACTACGCTAAAATAGCCCTATTGTTGATACTGGCAGTTAAATGTTGCAAAACCACCCCTTTTTGACGGCGAAACTGCGAAACCCTTCTTGAGGACACCCTGGCTTTGCGCCTGCGCGAGCATGAACGCAAAGCGAGATGTCGAGAGGAAGATCAAAGAAGGCAGAAGTTGAGGACATGCCAAATCCCCCATTTCGAGAAAGTGGTTTTTGCTTCCAGTCAAGTATACAAGATTTGATGCATTTTCTTGAATGGCTCATTATCTCATTTCATTGAAAGTGTTTTTGTTTTATTGTGTTCTTTGTTTTCATTTTCTGCAACTTGGATTTGCTGTACATCTACAAGTTACATGGAGTGTTTTCATCTTTTCTGTATATAACATTTATGTTTTCATCTTCACGTTTTCATTGAGTGTTATTGATTCCAATCCTGATTCAGTGGGACATGTGGTGACAACGGAGGAAACAACTGCGAAGTCCCGCCAGTTTAAAAGATCTGACTTTTGCACAGCAACAAGAACTGGGAGCCATGGCCAGGGGGGCGCGTTTCCTGAGAGAAAAAACACGCGGGTTCCAGGTTGAAGATGGCAACAGCACGCTTTGTTGAAGGTGATGTTTGACGCTCCCCAGTGGGAAATATACCATTCTGGTTGCTGGTTTGGAACATTTGTTATTTTTCCATATATTGGATCTGGTTGGTTGGTTGGAACCAGGGAATTTTATGACTTTCCATTTATTGGGAATTTCATCATTCGTTTCAAACCTTTTTTTTCCATTCAGTTGGGAATTTCATCATCCCAACTGACTTGAACTCCATGATTTTTCAGAGGGGTAGGTCAACCATCAACCAGATCTATTGTAATGGCAATATATGGCAAATTCCAATAAAACTTAGCTTTGAAATACACCATTTGGGAAAATATATGTGGGAAATACACCATTTGTTGGGGCTTCAGGCGAATCCCAGGGAAGAAAACACCTCGTCCCAGGCAAAAATTCCCCTCACCCATGGGCTCCGATGGTTTTTGGCCTCAGACTTGGTTGATTCCAACATGGTCAAAAAAACCGAGCCTAGGTGGTAAAATATGGTAAACCTATAACATCCTATAACATCCTATAACCATCCTATAACATCCTATAACCATCTATAACCATATCTATAACCTATAACCGGCAACATGAACCAACCACAGAATTGGCCCATGTTTCTCCACATCCAGGTGGCTTAAACTCACCCACCATGCTTCGCTCCAGGTGGACCCTGGCGCCTTCCGTCTTGCCTATGACACCGAGAACATCTGCAACTACCTGGAGGAATGGTGGCGTGCGGAGGGCCCCAGGATGCAGGCATGTAACAAAAAACCACTAGTTGTACAACTCATAAATGATCATATAGTTGTATGGGTTTATCATGATATAGTCAAAACATAGTTGTACTGTGAATTAGAAAAACTATATCATAACTTATCCCATATGCAACCCATGGTGCTGGTATATTTACCTACATTTGCCCTTGTCCAAAATCACCCAGTTTTGTAGGTAAATATACCAGCACCATGGGTTGCATATGGGTATGATAAACCCCAGGAGATTTCCGCGGTCGGTTGGTCTGACAAGAACGGGCCATTTAAAAAAGAAAAGCCGATGTTTCATCCTATGTCCATTTTACATTTATTGATTATATGAGTGTTTTCTGGTTTTCTTAACATATCAAAAACGCACTGATTCACCATGTTTGTTTACATGTTAAAGAAAAAAACACTGATTCACCATGCCCTATGGATCCAGCCGTACCTTCCTAGGAAGTGTTTGGGGTATGATTTAGGGGGTTAGCCGTACCTTCTGAGACAGTGTTTGGATCCATAGGGATGGTTACGACGACAAACGACGGCCCTGGCTCCAGCATAGTGATCTGCCCAAACCAACGCGCCGGGAGTTTCAGTACGCGGAGGACGACTTGTCTGGCAAGCCCAGTGAAGCAGGGATCTGGTTGGTTGGTTGGTTGGTTGGTTGGTTGGTTGGTTGGTTGGTTGGTTGGTTGTTTGGTGGTATATAGAAAATCACAATTTTTAATGGGTAAATCCACTATAGTATCTGGTTGGTGGTTTAGAACCATGGAATTCTGTTTGATTTTCCATTCAGTTGGGAATGTCATCATCCCAACTGACGAACTCATATTTTTCAGAGGGGTAGGTCAACCACCAACCAGGGATGAATTGGGATGACTGAGCGAAATTGAAAGCGGTAAAAAGTAAAAGCCCGAAATACCAGTTATTGTTATGGTTAGAAATGGTTTTACATGGTTATAAATGGCATTAGCAGCTCATCTTTTTTGGGGCGGCGAAGAGATGGCAATCCCTTCCCGCGAATCCTGAAGACCCGTCGGAAACCCATGGATTTAGTATTGGATTCCTATGTGGGAAAAACAAACAAACAAACCAGCCATGACTGGGAATGGTTTATAGATAGTCTATACCACCTATAAAAATGGTGATGACTGGGGGATGATTTCTGATTGCTTTACCCACATTACTCGTTTTGGGGCCCCCTGAATTGGGGCCCCAGTATTCAACCGATTCAACCTGGGATGGGCTTTCTATGTCGACCAGTGGAAATCCCCCATGTACTGTAGATAAGTTGATTTTCCCAAAAGGTGGTGCCCCCCTCAGTTATAAATTGGTTTTAAGCCCATGAATACTATAGATATATCACCTATAAACCATAGTTATTGGAGTTATGTTTACCAACTTAGCTATCGAACGGGGGCACCACCTTGCAGCTATAAACTTCCATTTACGGAGGATTTCGCCATTGGTCGTGTGGTAAAATTACCAGAGGGTAAGAGAGCGATGAAAGTTCGAGCGATTTGCTGAGGTGACAACATGAGCTCTAACGGTGTGTCTTGGCGGCTTTCTCGCTGTACCCCCAAGCCCCTCACCCCCCGGTGTTTACCCCTCGAAGGAGTGGCTGTTGACCCTCCATTTTTTTGCTGGTCAACCTTTGAAACAAGTCAATCTGAAAAAAAACCTGGGTGTGAAAAAAGTTGACCCATGCCCACATGTTTAACCACTCTTTTGAAGTGCTTTGATGGCTAAAGTATGTATATTATATATATAATTATTGATATGATATTCCCGTGTATGTGTGTGATTGTAGGTTGATGAAATCTTAAGATATGGTGAAAAAACACATGATATAGCTACAGCCGCTACTATGCCTTCCTTGGACAGTCCACTTGGGACTAGCTTTGGTTCGTGTCTCTGAATAGATTGTTTGCACGAGCTGGAGACTGTTGCAAGCTGGATTGGTGAATAAAGGGCTGTTCCTACTCAGAATTAGATATGAATCTTCAAGGCACAAAAAAAATGCCGGGTGGTAAAATGATGTAAAATGTGACATAAAAACCGGAAAAGATGTTGTTTTTGCCTTTCTGATATAGTGATAGGGGTATCCGTCTGATGGCCATTTGTATCCGTATCCCCATCTGCAGACACATCCATTCCCAGCCTGAAGAAATGTTGCTTCAAGCACCAGTGTTTTCCTATGTTTGATACGAGAAAAACTCGATCATTCCAGGATATTCGAGGTATATCATGGTATATCTACTACAAACCCAGCAAATATTGGCTTAGGCCCAGCTTTATGGTTACATTCAGTTGAGTTGACCCCAAGTTGACCCCGAAAAAAATGATAAAATCACCAAGTTAGCTGGTTCATGCCACGATTTTTTATGGCTAACCCCATAAATGAATATGTGCATGATGTTATTTCTAGGTACCTGCAGGACGCTAATCCCAAAAGTGGCTCATTCTCCGGGCCGCCGAGGCCACGCCCAAGGCGGCTGTTGACATGATCGCGGGGATGGAGAAGCAGGCGATGAAGCAGCGATGTGGCGAGAATTTCGCTGCTGAAAAACCGGTGTTTTCCTGAAAATATATACATAGCACATCAAGAACCCACGAATTTGTAAGTGTTTTTTTTCCAAAAAGCATTTGTTTCTTCAGTTATGAAATAACTTTTTTTTCTCAAAAAATATTGTTTTTTCTTCACTAGGGAAAACACATCTGCTTTTTCTGGAACATGTTGGACAACATTAGTTGTGATCACAGTCCATTGGAGTCGTTGGAAGACTTTTTCCCACAAGAACCACCCCTACAAGGTGGTGCCCTCCAGTTATAAGTTGGTTTATAAGCCCATTAACTATAGATATATCACCTATAAACCATAGTTATTGGAGTTATAAACCAACTTAGCTATCTAGGGGGCCCCACTTTGTAGAAGCATAAATTTGAAACATAGTAGTATTTTTGCATTAGGCAAAAAGATGATTCTGGATTGTCAAAATGCAACAAAGCCGAACAAAAGTATCGAACAAACGAACCAAATCATCAAAAACCAGTCGAAAATGCAGCTTTTTGTTCATGTTGGATGACAATTTTAGGGTCCGTGCCCAAAAATGCCCAAAACCCATATTTTGGCCGGATTAAGCCGTGCTAAACCCATATTTATCCCGTACTAAACCCATATTATGGAAAAAAAACAAAAGGTTTTTGGGAACCCTTAACCGTATTACACCAATAATTAACCCATACTAACCCGTACTCAAAATATAGTTTTTTTGCCTCTGGGAATGAACGGCTGCGACGTCGAGTTTTGAGGCTCCACTTGTCGTTTTGCAAATTGGAGCCGGCAATTGCCCGATCCAGGCAAAAAGAAAACAACGTAGATTGTCAGAGCTATCGTCATTTTGCTGGGTTCACATCTGAAAAGCTGACTTTTGAAATGCCATGCATATCCATAGTGACTTTTTGACTACCTCCAGTCCCGCTGAAGGGAGAGTTCGCAGCATCGGAGGTAACTGCAGCCGGTGGAGAATGCGCACATCGTGTGTGGTTTGCTTCGGTTTCGATGGTGTGTTCCGTTTGACAGATTTCGGAACTTGTCAGTATGAAGTTGCTACATGTGGTGAAGCAGAAATTTGAAACATGTCCACCTGATTTAGACAAATTTGTGCAAATCCAACAGAAACCTTTTTTTAAAAAAAACCTGTTTTAACTATTTTTTTTACTGGACCTACAATGGTTTGGGTCTTTGAAGCTCTTGGTATATATATATATATTTATAATATATATATATGTACATATATATATATATGAATCTGATATATGATATATGAATCTGATATGTGATAATAAATGATATGTGAATATATGATGTGTGGTGACAACACTTACATCAGGTAGCACATGCTATTATTATAAATTTGCTAGTAATGTATATATATATACACAGCATAACAATACTAACATATTCATATTCATTTTGTTTGTTTGTTCATCCTTGTTTTTGTTGTGAACGCTGCCCCAGTCCGGTCCTGCCGCAAGGAACGAATTCTGGTGATCGACTTTGGCTCTCAGGTGGGGGAGTCCAAAGGGGGTCCAAAGATGTCCATATTGAGCGTCCAGTGATCACTCTGAGAAGACATGGGGATATATTTGACATATATCACGAACATGTTGTGAGCAATGGTGGGTTACGTATCAAGCATGGTGAATGAGGGGAACTTCACCACCGAAAATAGTGAAGAACCAAAAATTTGGATTTCACCACAACACACGGGGGGTTAACCCCGAAAAGGTTGCACAACCCAATGCCATAACCACCTTTTTGTTGGGTATGTTTTTAGATAGTCCCAACTATGTACTGTAAGTCAGTGGTCTTTTTATGGGGTACACTGTCGGGTTCGCCATGGGGGAGCTAAGAATTACCTGATAGTTTGGGTCTGTTTTTTTTCTCCATATGAGGTTAACGCATTAATTATGGGTAATATGGTAACAAAATTATTGACCATGGGATTTCATCCCACAAACCCAATGTGGGATTTCGTGTTTTTGATGAAACATAGCTAATGTCTATGGAGAATGGCCCATGTAGTTCAATGAAAACGATGGTCTTCCATAGCAACCATAGCCGAAAAATGGTGAAGCTGTGATGGTTCCAGAGGAAACCGCCATCAAGACGCTGCCCTTGATGGATGTTGGTTAAAATACCCCCGTGAACTAGTTCGAATTACTGATGATCAACCTAAGACTTCTTGGAATTTTATAGGAGCCCATTTAAAACTGCCAAATTTCCTTTTTTAATCACCATTTTGACCCATGCTTACTATTTTCACCTATATTTACTACCTGGTACATCCTTAGATTGGAAAAACATGATCTATATATTTCTTTAAAAAAAAAACAGGTTTTGGGGAAACGGATTGGGGAAAAAAACAATCTAGAGGGGTACCAGCTATCGCCCATCATTTACCCATCATTTCGCCCGCAGTTGGTCTGAGGTGAGCCATCTCATTTGTCGTCGCGTGCGAGAGGCAGGCGTCTACTGCGAACTGAGGCGCCGGAAAAACCCGGGGAGGACGGAAGCCGACGGTCCCTAATATGTTTAAAGGATGTGAGATGAACTGTATAAAAAATCAAGAGTAGATGTTTAATGTTCAAACTATATGTTAAGAGTAAACATATCAACATGATTTGTTTCCTGCAAATGGTTTCTCAGAAATAAGTTGATTGAGGTGGGCAACCAATAAATTTTGGGGTACCAACAACAAACACTGATCAGGTGCCATTAGAAATCCCGAAAATAGAACTAGTAGAAGCGACTGTGACCTTGTGCTTAGGATATTTTGAATTGTGTGGTGCCAGGTGAAAGTACCACAGGATACAATGTTGTAAAGCCAATAATAAGCCGTCCCCAATATCACTTCATGTTTATGGGAGTATAAGCCATTATTAGTTTGCCCACATTACATGTTATCCTCTGGTAAATTAACATAACTATGATACTATGGAAAATCACAAGTTTTAATGGGAAAATCCATTATAAATGGCCATGTTCAATAGCTATGTTAGTTTACCAGAGGGTAAGTGATGCCAGGTCTTGCCTGCTGAAGCTGGACGATGTGACCGGCTTTCACCCCAATGGCATCATTCTTAGTGCGACAGCCCAGCCGTTGAGCCGCCGCAGGGCAGTTGAAGGTTCTTTGCCATGGTTTAAAGGCCCATGTATGGTATATTTACCTACATTTGGGTGATTTTTAGGGCAAACATTGGTAAATATTCCATACATGGAGCATATGGGATGGTTTAAAGGCCCATGCGTGGATGGTTTACAACAGTTTACCCGTTAAAAGTGGTGATTTTCTAGTATGATATGTGTTGTTTCCATGTTTAAAGGCTTCGGGATTCCTCAGTCGTCAGTCATGGGCATCCATGACTTGGATTCCTTGGATGATGCATGGGGCTACCCCCATGACTTTGGGAAGCTTCAACATTTTGACATACCCTCTGGTGAACTAACATAGCAATTGAAAATGGCCATTTATAGTGGATTTTCCCATTAAAAACGGTGATTTTCCATTGCTATGTTAGTTCACCAGAGGGTATCATGAATTATTGTGATTATAAATGAATGATAATGATTATAGCCATCTCACCAGATTTTTTGGGACTATAGTTATAATCACCACTAACACATAACTATTACAATGTGTGCCCCGGCAGTTCTGTAAGTTGGTTTATGAACCCCATGAATACTATAGTTATAAGCATCTTAAACCATATTTTTTTGGAGTTGTGTTCACACCAACTTAGCTATCGTAAACCGGGGCCCCACTTTGTACCCTGAGCTGGCAATTTAATGTAGCTATAGAACATATCAACATTTTGAGTAGGTAAATCATCATCAATGATGATAAGTATTTATTAGGATTATACTCATTATTACCACGGAACTATTATGAGGATTATAATTGTGATTATCTTGCCAATGTATCATTATATATGGTGATTATATCTTGCCAGCGGTAATACTGGTGATCAAATTACCACTATAATAAGTTCAATTATAGTTGCCATTACCATATTATAAACTACCATATCATAATCATAAAAGAAAAAACATGCCACTAGAAAATTATAATTTATAATTTACCATATTAGCATATTATAATCATCTATAAATAACCATATTATAATCTACTATAGATCTATAAATCATCTATAAATCATCTATAAATCTACTATATATCATTATAATCTACTATAGATCTACTATAGTAATAACCATATTATAACCATTATAAAAGATTTCCATTGCACAAGATTCGCGCCAGGTGGTGGCCCCCACTCGGTCTATGACAAGGACGCTCCCCATCTCAGCCAGGAGGAGCCGGTTCAATGCGCCGGTTTAGCATGGACGGTGGAAAATGGGAGTTCAAGGGGACATTCAAAGAGATTTTATAGTGGTTTAGCATGCCCAAATGCTCCATTGAAGCTATTGAAAATGGGATTTTAATGGGATTTTCATGGGATTTACCATCTGGTAATGACTAACATAGCTATTGAAAATGACCATAGAAATAGTGATTTTTCCCATGAAAAATATGGTGATTTTCCATAGTTATGTAAACGTTTACCAGAGGGTAATAGTGGTTTAGTATGGTTTCACCATGAAAAAATGGTGAAAGATCTTGGTTTTAAGCATCAACACATGTAGAACATGATGGTGAAACACTAGCAGCAATGGAGAAGAATGGTTTAAAAAATCAAAACAGGCAAACAAAAATAGCTCTTTTGATTATCAACGATTGCAAACAACAACCAATTTAATTTGTGTTATATGTGTTTATTTAATTCCAAAAAATGAGAACATGACCATATTTGTTTGAAAGTTGAAAGGGTTTAACGCCATCAACCAGATAATTCTTTCAGTTTTGGCCAAAAAGATGCGACTGGAAGAATTGTATTGTTTTTTTGATGGACAAGAGATGGGGTGCAAGAAACAATACAAAGGGTTTATCCTCCAATCGTCAAGTGGGAAAGTACCCTTTGATCGGAATAATATGTGTCAATGGAATTGACAACAATAGGAATAATGATATATCATTTACAACCGTACCCTTTTTGTTTAACAATATTGTTCTTAATAATATACATATTATGTATATATATATATGGTTGCAACAGTTGTTCCATTGCTAGGTTAGACAACCAGAGGATACCTGGCTGTTTGGTTTCCGCGGCAAAAAAAACAGCATGTTTCTGTTAAAATTGAAGCAGTTTTAGTTCACATCCCTGGGTAAAAGTTGTCGTTGGATGTTTAACAACCACATATTCGAGTTGGATCCTACGACAAGTCGCAGAATCCACCCCACGCATGTTCGGTCGCATTTTTTGAGGGGACGTGGTGATTTTTGAGCGGTGTTTGGGGCCGGGGTTTCACAACTGTTTCTTCAACTGCCAAGTATGAAGGTGTTGCTTTTCTCTCCGTAAGTTTAAATGTTCGTCATGGTGACCCATAATTACGCATATATATATACCAATGCAATGTCATGTAGCGGAATAGAATGTAATGCAAACTAAAGGATGATATATATATATACACATGTACTAGTATTGGAAGAACATACAGTACATATGATCCACAACACATTACATATTTGACGAGGTGGTGCATGCAATCTGTTCTGTACAACCATCGCAGTCATTGAAAGACTACCTTCAAACTGGCCTTATCTCTTACACCTGGCCGATCTTGTGGAGAGAGTTTTTGTTTCACCATTTTTGAGTGGGAGAGAAGTATAATGAGATGGTGTAGTTGGTATAGTTGGGATGGTTCTCATTATGAGCTGGTCTAGTTGGTAAACACTTTATCTTTGGAGCCACCTGTTTGCGACACTCCCCAGATCTGGAACTACATCGATGAGAAGAAACTGCCAGTCCGATTCCCAGCTTCGGCCACTGTCCTCCGCGACAGTTGCCGCTTGGGTTTGTTCAAGCATTGGGACTTTATGCATACATATGAGTATGAGTTAAGACCCTGGCACCCTAACCCAAGAATGGCTGGTAAATGGCTGTCAATGAATCCCCCCAAATATGGTGTTATATGGTGTTAAGAGGTTTGGACCCATGGCCATATCACCAATTTCACTGGAAACATGATGATCAGCCATGGAATGGTGGTTTTGTTTCCTCTTGGGAAAAACAGGGTTAGCAACTTATGTGAAGATAAGGGCCATCCACTAAAAATTCCCAAGCTCCGTTTTTTGTGGCTTTTGCCATCTTTTGCCCCTGGCAGCTCCTGGCAGTGCTCGAGCACAGGTCTTTGGCATTTGCTACGGCCTTCAGGACTGCCATGCCACTTTTTCCCCCAGAAACAGAGATCCCAAGGGTTAGACGTTTTGAGCCACCAGATCCTCAGCCTGAAGGCTGCCATTCTCCCATAGCGGCCATGCCATTTAAGCGTCTTCTGATTTGGTGGAAGTGAACCCAATGTGAACCCAATAGATCCAATAGAGTGGAACTTCACCACGTGGCACGTGGGGCATGGCGTCTGGATGTGTTCGGCCATTGTTGCTATAAAAACCCAGGGGGGCTGGTAATGGCTGGTAGCGTCTCAGCAGTTACAACTGATTTTGCAGGAGATGTGCCACACACTCGGTGGCAAGGCAGGTATCACACTCGGGGTAGGTGACAGAAAAATGGCGCCGAGTAAGGGTGCTGGTCATGAGTCACTTTCCGGATGGTTCACTGTAGTCATAAGATGGCTAGTGCTCAGCGATTTCGGACCTTGTGGGACCACAGATTTTTCCTGGTCCAGTGTCTTGATCCTTAAACCATCCTATTTTTGGGTCTATAGCCAAGGCTGAAGAATCAGGATTCAGGTGCCTCTAACATGGAGGTATACCCAATCTACAGATGCTCTATATAGAAGGTCTCCATAGCAAGATATAGCAAATATCATCCAAAATCGATCCAAGAAGATGTCCTGAAACATGGCAGAGTTGCTTCACCTGTTGAACCCCAACTATCTTTCCATATGAAAAAAAAACATGGAAAAAAAACATGGAGCTTTCCTAGTTGTCATGTCGGGGTGCCTCTAAATCATCATCCAGCCAGTTCTGGATTTTGATCCATCCAGCTGTTGGTAAAAACAGGTGGAGCCAGGTGTCAAGCGCGAGTTTGGCCATGCCGACTTGCTCATCAGGCAGGGTTCGCCAGGAAGCCTTCACCAACAAAGCATGGTGGATTCGTTAAGAGGATGAAACTCCACTTCACCTGATGGGGCCATAGGGCCATAGGGATGTTTAATATGATATGGGGCGGTGGGAGTATGATTTTGATGATCTTGAAACATGTTGGGAATGAGGACAATGTTGATGAAACATATTGTATTTCTGGGCACCCCATTTTCAGGCAAAGCATTCAACAGCAGCAGAGACGATCCTGACACTTGGGAGCCACATGCTGGTTATATGGGTGAGGGCTCAGACCTACAAGGTGGTGGCCCAGTTCGTTAGCTAAGTTGGCTTATGACTCCAATAGCAGTTGGCAGCATGTTGGATATATCGAACTCATTACAAACCACCTATAATATATTAATATGATATTCTCCATGGGGAAAAATGATGAAACATGTATCTCCATGAGCACCAAGAATTCTCGACTTAGCGGATGTTCAGTCACTCGGGATCCTCATCCCACTGTTTTTTTGGTATACCAACTGCATAGAACATTTCCGTTATTTCAGTGAGATTTTTTCACGGAAGTCTACATTTTTTTGGGGGGTACTACTATACCTGTTTCATACCTGTTTCATTGACTATATAGAGTAATCTTCTTCAGTCATCTTGCAATCAGACTACTCTCGTGTAGACCCCTGGCCCCTGGCCTTGTTCCCCACCAAAAATGGACCGGTCACACTCAGCCACCATTTCCATCCATTTCCTGCAATTACTTCATGATGAGAACAGTACATCGGACAGCCGCAGTTTTTGGTGGTGGAAACTAGCCTCTGGTAAACTAACAGTTTGCGAACTTGAACATGGCCCAGTCGAAATAGTTGATTTTCCCATTAAAAATGGTGGATCTTTCCATGATTTTCCATAGTTTATGTAAACGTTTCCCAGGCCGGGTAGCCCTTTAAAAAGCGTCGAAAAAACCCGCAGCGATCCGATCCAGGGAAGATGTGGCACATCTGAGTGCTGACGGATCCAAGAGGATCAAGGGCCGCAGTCCCATCTTTGAGGCGGGAATCCCAAGTCACCATGGCTATTTTCGTAAAATGGGTGTGTCTGAAAATGTCGTGTACCCCTAAAGCCAATGGTTTTGCTGATCATTATCCCTATCAAATGGCTATTTCATTGGGAATATACCCTATTTTCAGACAAACCCAAATGGTCATCCATATGGATATACCATCTGGTTATGACTAACATAGCCATGGAAAATCCCCAAAATAAATGGAGGTTTCTAGCTGGGAAAATCATCTATAAATGGGCAAACTGTTAGTCATCACCAGAGTCAAAGGGAATTTCAGGATCCTAAAATGGAGGTACGTTAGTACCATTTGTCAGGCCATATTTTGCTGGGATATTCCCTGAAATTTAGGCCTTATATAGGGTTGGTACCTCCAATTTAGGTTCCTGAAATGGCCATTGACATAACTTTTTTTTTTTTTAGGGGGGGGTCCCCGTATGACTTAGGACAGCTCCATGTAACATGTAGTCAACTGTAACTTGATGCTATCTATGGCTATCTATGGTACCCTTTGGTAAACGTTTACAATCCTGTTGAAAATGATGATTTACAATTGATTTACCCATTAATAGCATGGTGGATCTTTCCATATTTTCCATAGCTATGTAAACGTTTACCAGGCCGGGCACAGATCTTGAGAATGTGCCAAGTTTCTGTGAGGGCATCAGCACAGAGAAAGTCCCGGTCTGGATGAGCCACGGCGACAAGGCAGGGAGAAGTGATCAATGGTGATCCATGCTGAGCAACGGTGGTCAACGGTGGTTAATGGTGGTTACCCTCCGGTAAACGCTTACAAAAAACTATGGCAAGATTCACCATTTTCAATGGGTAAATCCACTATTTCCATGGTCATGTTCAATAGCTATGGTGAATTACCAGAGGGTAAATCCCATTAAAATCCCATTACCAGAGGGTAACAGTAGTACATGGTGGTTAATGGTGGTGAATGATGACAGTTGATCGTGTTTGGTTATGGTTCGTGCCGGTTCATGGCGAACATTCGGTGACCTCAAGGCGAGCTTTGATGATGTTTTTTGGGGTAAATCTTAGCATGACTGGTTGGTTGGTTGGTATATGGAAAATCACCATTTTTAATGGGCAAATCCACTATAATATCTGCTGGGTGCTTTGGAACCATGGCTTTTTTTATGACTTTCCATTCAGTTGGGAAGGATCATCATCCCAATTGACGAACTCATATTTTTCGGAGGGGTAGGTATACCACCAACCAGATGAATTGTTCATATTTCAGATTTGGGAAGTATTACAAGATCTTACAAGTTATCGAGATGTCTTGCAGCCCGGCGGAATGTGAGAATTGCATGTTTGTTCCCAAAGATGATTTTCATTGTCTTTGATGAGTCACAAGAAATTGCTCGTCTCTTTTGACAATTAAAGAATAAGAAACAACTTCCATTCAGAAACAAAACTCGAAAAACCTAAATCCATATCCCATTAAATCACCATGAAAAAACACCTATCATATTCCATATAGTATAGCCGTATAGCCTATCCATATCCCATCCATATATGCAGAATCCTATGACATCTCCCCAGTTGCCAAGTCAGTTGCTGTCCAGGTCACACAGCTGCCTCCTGGTTTCACTTCAATTGCTTACACCTCCAACACCGAATTTGCCGCCGTGGAAGATCAGGACGGGAGAGCGCCATAGAGCACCAAACCACGAGGAAATGGAGGTCTGAAGAATGGCAAGTTAAGCCACAAAGAAATGCTACAAAGTTGGGATCTATATTATAATCATTTATAATATATTATATCTATAGTCATCAAAAAACGGTCAACAGCGGTGAAAAAAAACATGTTCATGGGGAAAATGATGATCAAATATGACAGAGACACTTCCAGTACTCTATTTTTCAAGCAAATTCAGATTGGGTTCGGGTCAAGTTTCATTGACATTTCCCAGATACTCCATGTATGTAATATATTTGCCTACATTTACCCAAAAAATGGCTCAAATGTCAAATGTAGGTAAATATTCCATACATGGAGCATCTGGCTTTGTGTATCAAAAAGGATCAAAATGCCATGTATCGACATGACATCTGGATCAGCTACGATCGGCCCATGACTGTGACCGTAGCAGCCGCAGGCACGTCACATCTATGGTGTGCAGTTTCATCCAGAGGTGCCGAGCTGCAGTGGAGTTCCATGAGATGTGGAAACCCATGGAAAGCCGATGGAAATCCTGGTGATTTGGAGAAAAAACGGTAAAAACCATGGCAAAAAACACCATGGTGTGCTCTTTTCTTATGTTCGGAAAGTCTATCCGTATAGCTCCGCAGGGCTTTCCATTTTTGGGTGGTTAATATGTGAGAATATGTGGGAATACCCGTAGCTCCCAAACTGCTTCTGCATAACCACTGGATAGTACTCTCATCATCAACTAACCATCATTTATCAATCATTATTCCTATAGTTATCATGGTTAAACAGTTAAAGCCATTAAAAGCCGTTAAAAGCCATTGAAACCCATGAAAAGCCAGTATATAATCCATTAAAAGCCATTAAAACCAATTGAAACCCATGTGTACAGCCATGGAAAGGGCGCAAAGGATTTGGCCCCATAAAGTTTGGGGAATGGGTCATTTTGTTGAGCAGATGTAGGTAAAAAAACAAAATAACTAGTAAAACAACTAGTGATACATATACACAATGATACACATATGACATATACCAACTATATCCAAATATCCATAACTATCATATACATATGTATATGTATATATATATATATTATTAATATTATTATTATTTGGACCATATATGGACCATGCCATATCAATTCCAATTTCATCCCTGCCATGGATGTGGCGTTGTTGCGTAACTTTTCAGGTGACCCACACGCCCAGTGGAGCCACCATGATCAAGAACTTCGTGCTGAAGGTGGTAGGCTGTCGTGATGCCCAGAGGCCCCAGAGGTCCCAGAGGCCCCAGAGGCGGATGCGGTGAAGTTGGCGACCCAAAGGGGTCTCCAAATCATGGTCATAATAATAATGGTTAATAATGGTTAGTCATGGTTAGTCATGGTTAGTCAAGGTTAGTCATGGTTATAATTTATAATAGTGGTTCATGATGGTTAATAAATGGGGCTTAGCTATGTTAAATAACCAAAGGGTAAGTTAAACCATCCAGATTATATCTCCACTAAACCACCATTGGTCCATAATAATCTGGTTGGTGGTTTGGAACTTGATTTTTATGACTTTCCATATATTGGGAATAATCATCCCAACTGACTTTCATATTTTTCAGATGGGTAGGTATACCACCAATCAGTATTGGTTAATAAATGGTGACAGTGACAATGGGAATAATAATGGTTAATTATGCTTGATCATAGTTAATTATTGTTTGACAATTGTTGATAATGGATATAATAGATATCATATTGGAGGTTTCCTTAGTCACGTGGGTACCCCAGTTTACCAGTTTCAATACTGAAATGGTCCTGTCAATCTTGGATGATTTGGGGTACCAAAACCCATTCGAAACCTCCAAATAGAGGATGATCATCGGCTCTGGCTATTGAAAATGGCCCAGTCGTTAAATAGTGAGTTTTCCCATGAAAAATGATGATTTTCCATAGTTTTTTGTTAACGTTTACCAGGCCGGGTAACTATTCTCTACTTTAGCCGGTGTTGATGAAGGATACCCAAGCCATGATCTGAGGCAAGGGTGAGTGGAACATGCATGACTTCTGCCAGAAGCAAATTGCCAGCTCCTCAGCAAGGGATGTGGCTTGTGTGATGGAAATCTAAGGCTACTTCAAAATTCGTGAAGAGGCTTAACCACCATAGACCAGGGCTTATCAACTGAACCGCCTGTTGGGGGAGTATCATGAGGGGAGGGTAGCCTTAAACCTCCCTGAGATTGCTGGAGAGTGATGCCTGATGGAGATTTCACCACGGCGAAGGCCAATGACTTGCTGAGGATATCATCATGAACAAATTGGAGGACGAAAGCGGAGACGAGTTCGGTGCCGATTTTTTGTTTTGGCAACGGGTGGTTGACGTGGGAGTGGTACCGATGTAGGAAGATTTTAGAGTTTTTTGGTCAAACACCATAAAACCCTCTCTGGTTGGTGGTTTCAAACATTTTTCATGTTCCATAATATATGGGACAATCCTTCCCAGTGACTAATATTGTTCAAGATGGTTGAAACCACCCACCAGCCAAAAAACCCTCTGGTAAACGAACATAACTATGGGAAATCACCACTGTCAATATAGGAAACTCATGGACAGTCAATTATGAATGGACCATGTTCAATAGCAAACTGTTATTTACCGGGTCATATCACAAACAAAAAGGGGATGAACATTCATGTACCAGCTATCTTGTGGGTTTCACCAAAGCATTAGGGTCTTAATTTATCCATGGTCCTTTGGCTGATAGCTGATAAAATGTGTTTTCTTTCCGGGAATAGTACCCTCTGGTAATGACAAGCATAGCTATTAAAGTGGTGATTGTCCTTAGTTATGTTAGTTTACCAGAGGGTACATCACTTTTCTAAACGGGGTTGAAACGATCTACCAGGCACACCGCCTAGCGGCTAGATCAACACGGGGCACTTGCCGCTTGTTGTGGCATGTTTGGATGTTTAAGCCATCAAAACGGACTGTGAAGACCATGAAATCAACATGAATTTCCGAATCCATTTTTCCATCGATGAATTACAGCGACCTCGTGTCTTCGTCACCATAATAATGATGGTGAATGTAAGGGAATACATCCCAAATAAATGCAAATAAGGATAATAAGGCCTTTATTGCAGCTTTGTGAATTAATTGTTACCATTTATCCAGATGGTTTGGGGGCATCCACTATTTTCGACATACCCTTCTTTGGCGGGATGATGGGAATATCGAAACCGGAAGCCCCTGGATAGAAATCATCGTAGAAATCCATGGTTTCCCATAGGTAGTCCCATAGGAAGATCCGTGAGCCAATCCATTGATCCATGGATTTCCATTAAGAAACGATTGATTTGCGAGCCAATCCCAATTATTCACCATTTTTGAGACCAAGAATCACTTTCTGATTGGTGGTTTGAAACATTTTTTTAATGTTTCCATTATATTGGGAATGTCATCATCCCAACTGACGAACTCACTCCATCATTTTTCAGAGGGCTAGGTGGCTCAACCACCAACCAGCAATCCATGGTGTTTCCCAACAAACGGCCGTCGTTTGCGCCGCCTGAAGTCAGGACAAATATGTGGTGGGTGCCGTGAGCGGAGGTGTTGACTCCAGCGTCGCTGCCGCGCCTTGGCCTTGACTCAACGCGGGCGATGGTATAGCCATGGGTGGATGGGTGGCCTTTACATTCTGATGGTCATTCCAGGATACTAAATTTAGAAGTACCATATATATATACATAAGGCTATATTTTGGGGGGATATTCCCTGAAATTTAGGCCTTACATAAAACTTATATATGGAATCGGTACCTCCAATGAATCGGAACCTGACATGGCCAGTACATTCTGGGGCTATGATCCATCAAGGTTTGGTACGATGTTTTCCCAGCTCTCCCTGAGGATTTCTCGCCAAGTTGATTCACGTGGTGATTTCGGTTCCAGTGAATTCGATGGTTGATTGGGATTGATTAGGGGGATGATATAACTATTATGTATATATATATATATATATATACATATACTTTTTTGGGATTGATTGGGGGATATAAGTGTACTATTCATATCATGTTATATCTATTTATGGGGTTTAAAAAGCAAGAAAAATAACTGGAGGGCCTCACCATTGTGGTATATTTGTGCAACATGCAAGACCCCAGAAACCATGGTTAAATAGTGGCTGAAATCACCAGTTGGGCCCATAGAATGGGGCCCACGATGGCCCAGCTACTGTAAGTTGATGAACATAACTCCAATTTCACCATGGTTTATGATGCGATAGTCCATATTTGTCCATAAGCTTTACCATCTGGTTATTTAACATAGCCATGGAAAATCCCCAAAATAAATGGAGGTTTCTAGCTGGGAAAATCATCTATAAATGGGCCATCTATACCATGGCTATGTTAAATACCCAGAGGGTAAATCAACATGGGTATGGGTCAATACCTATAGATACATGGGTTATTCACATCCATAAATCCCAGCTATTTTGGGGTTCACTAGGTACCAGGGTTTTGACCCATCCCCACATGTCACTGGGTGGCCCTACCTTGGTTTGATTCGGCGCTCAGTTCTCCACCAGGCATTGGTGCACAAAGCGATTGGCACGGTGTCCCAGTGGCCGGAGATTGATTTCGATTTGGTGTCCATGACGATATGTTACAAAAGACAGGGTAAGCTCCATGGTTAATATGTTTAAAAGGTCTTATTAAGGCTCAATAGGATTTGATTTACTATGGTGTATAATATGGATAATAAGTCGACAGTAATGGGATAATAATGTAATGGATAATAATGGATAGACCTTCTGGTGAACACACATAGCTATGCAAATTCACAATGTTAATAGGAACATAATTTATAAATGGTCCATTCCATAGCGATGTCAGTTTACTGGGGGTATACACATGTATAGATTGTAGGATACATTACACTGATTGTCAATGAGTGTAATACTATTACATATTAGTACATTGTCATATATAGAATCATAATATATATATATACAGTATATATATATGTATTATATATATATACTAGAACATTCACCCAACGCAAAACTATCGACCCCAAGAAAAATGGCTAAATGTGTAGGGTTGACATCTACCATATCTTCAAGCCATGCCTGTCAGAGTCCCAACACTTAGTATTTGTTTAATTGTTCAATCACATTACTGTGATGTTCCCGATGTTTGGCGCAGTTGTATTCCCCACATCGGTTCAATGTGCCCCCCCCAGTGAGAAGTTTATTTATAAACCCCATCAACTATGGCTATAAGTCATCATCATAAACCATTTTTTATTGGAGTTATGTTTACCAACTTAGCGATGTTGTTTTCCCCACATTGGTATTAACCTTGGTTAGTTAAGCATATTTTCAACCCGATGGGAAGCCGCCCCCCTCGGAATCCGCAGGAGATCGCTTTCGACCCTTTATGGTGGACACTGGACTGCTTCGCAAAGATGAGGCATGGCAGAGGACGAATTAACGGCTTTTTGTGGCTGGTTTGAACAGAAAATGTTTGGTTGACACATATTTTTTGGACTAACGATTCTTCGTCCCAAATATACATAATATATATATATAGGTATAGACAGTACATGCAAATATATATATATATGTATACATGATATGTAACTTGTTGAAAAGGTAAGCTAGATTATCCATGAGTTGGAGTCAGAGGAGTGAGACATTCCATCCCAATGTAGGGGTTGTTAGGATATCCGACCGGGCATCCCTTGATGGTGTTCCAGCATTTTCCCTATCACAATTCAGATTTTAAGGTATCCAGTGTCCATTGGGTGAGATCCGGATATGTTGCTGGTTACCCTCTGGTAAACTAACATAACTATGGAAAACCACCATTTTCAATGGAGAAAATCCACGAACTCAATCACCATTTTCAATAGCTTTTTGTATGTTTACCAGAGGGTACTCTAAATCTCAATCTTTACGGCTTCAGTTGCTGTTTTCCCCCCATCTCATATCGGCCTAATCTCAGTATATCCGATGCTACAGAGATGGACATTCTCAAAGAAGTATCAGACAATCAGTTGTCAATTATGTATATATAATATCATCCTTTCGTGAAAGTTTTACTATTATAATAATATATATATATATGATATATATATATATATTATATACATATATATATGCATTCAATGATAGAGCCAATCACCAAAAAATACATTTAATATGTGCCTATCAAACTTATCATATCCCAAAGCCTTTGAGGTATTGAAAATGGCACCCCCAAAAAAGGGCCCGCCGGGCCAAGTGGCCAAGTGGCCAAGTGGCCAAGTGGCCAAGTGGCCAAGTGGCGGAGCCGGCGGAGACCCCGACCGACGACCCAAAACGGCGTGTCACGAGTTTTTGCCATGATTTCTGGTGAGTGAAGGTATACCCTCTGGTAAACTAACATAGCTATTGAAAATGGCCATTTATAGTGGATTTTCCCATTGAAAATGGTGATTTTCCATAGTTATGTTAAATTACCAGAGGGTATATGATATGAAATCACATGTGAATGAGTATATTAATGATACTATGGTATAATGTATAATAATGTATACCATCACTCACCAGAATATCATATAGTGTGATATATACCATCACTCCCATTCTGATATAATGTAAACTATCATGAATGTGTATATTAATGATACTCCATATGTGTGAAGTATTCGATGTGTATATATGAAACTATGAAATGAACATCATCAAATTTCACAATGAAGTATCTATGAAGTATCTATGAAAATTGTCAATGAAGTATCCCATTTTTGTTTTAAACATTAAATAGATCCAATATGTTTCCCATGAAACATCCGAAAATTTGCGTTGAATCCCACGAGTATCATCACCCTTTTTTCGAGGCCAAGATTGTGAAGGAGCGCTTGGAGAAACACATCCCTGGTATGAAGCTCAAGGCGGCTTAGCTTATTTTGTTGATTTAACTGGTGATTTTAGCAGAGAACATAGAGTGACATAGAAGCGTTAAAAATGATGGTTTGAATGTGGCTTGAAAATGTAAAAAAAAAAGGTAGGGATTTAGCGGTTTTGTTGGATGATTTCTGGTGATTTTAGCATCCAGCATAGAGAATATTAACCAATGAAGAATGGTTGGTTAAATCATATGGTTAACTCGTGGACATTATGGTTGCCTGGGACCGATGGGATTGGGTAGCCCTAAATTCATTGGTCAATCATCATGTTCCCTCTTCAATATCTATAATATGCTACTGCTATGGGGGTACACACATGTTCAGACAAAGCCAAGTGGGAATCTTTACCAGCGAAAGAACGAACGTTTTCGCAAGGTCTATGGCAGATCTGCCATAGATTTGGGTTATGGCTGTCAGACATGAGGGATGGACACCTCGTGTCTTAAAAGGGTTTAAACCATTGGCTTTGTGCATTTTCCCCCCAAAAAAATCTTGAGTCTAGATGAAAATGACTGCGAAGCACTCGTTGCAAAAAAAAACACAAGGAGGTTTAAACACGAAAGATTGCAAATTATGATGTATATAGGCATACTTGGATTGCTAGCATTCCCAACTTGGCCATGTGAATTGTTGAGATTATTTATCATCATTATCAGTGTTTATCATTATTATTAAATATATCTATATATACACATTTATAATATGTAACAAATAGGATGTGGATATTTATTATTCTGAATATCATGGATTTATATTTATATATATATATATACAAAATACTGATTTCTAAGCAATTTTTATATTTTTACAATGAAAATTAGGATGTGTCACTGCTTCGGGGTGTTTCGGTCCTTGCAGGTTCTGGATGCCAGCGGCGATTTCTACAAGGAGTTGGTCCGAGGGCCCGGCCTGGAGGGTCTCCACGGTCTCCACGTGCCGTGGTAAGGCAGGGATGACATAGTATCTATAGTATAGTATCTATATGGATGTGGATAGATATCTATAGCATATCTATAGCATATCTATAGTATATCTATAGCATATCTATAGTATATCTATAGCATATCTATAGTATATCTATAGTATATCTATAGTATATCTATGATATGGATGGTTTATATGGATGTCAAAATGGTGGATATATCCCATATAATTCCCTGTGTTTTTCCTGTATGGGGGTTTCCTAAGTCATGGTGGCTTCCCTAAATCATACATTTTAGATTAGGATTTTCTATTTTGTAAACCATCCAGCTATTGGGGTATCCCCATTTAAGGACACTTCCATATGGGTTTGATTGAAAATAGGGTATCTAAAATTGGAATATTATTTATGATTTTCCCGAAAATTTGAAAATGATATTCCCTGCTAAATACACCACTTTCAGACCCATATCCATGAAATTGATTCATTTAGAATTATCCATTTATATTTATATCACAAGTGATTTTAACTGTTGATGTAATGATGATTTGACCATCAGGATGGTTGATGGTTGATTGGTTAGCTTTTTGGGTGTTGTTAACCTACTCAATTCATTGTGGATTGTTAAGTGATCCATCAACTTTGGATGACATGAGGGTTTTTGACCGCCGCTAGTGATGCCAATATATGCCAATAAACCACGGAAACAAACGTCACTGGAAGCCTTGATGATACAACTTGTGGCAACTTCAGGTGCTTGTCATACTACCGCTGTATTGTTTTTCTTGATCCTACCTGGTTGGTGGTTTGGAACATGTTGAATTTTCCATTTCATATATGGGATGTCATCCTTCCCATTGACGAACTCCATCATTTTTCAAGATGGTTATTGCACCACCAACCAGCTACTCATTTTCGCTATATCTGACATGAGGAACATCGGACCAAGTGGAGAATCGAACTGCTTTTCACGCCTGCTGTGAATCAAAATCATATTTCCAGAGGAGATTAAAGCAGTCAGTATAAACCCGCCATGGTTTACTTTGATTCTCTTTAGGTTCAACGAAGCATACAAAGTTTCCCAATGGTTCCTACATTTCAATGGGGAAGAGGGTGAGCCACACGACATCCTGCTGACTTAGATCTGGGACTTTCATCATTCATCCCCCTTTCTTCATCGATGCTGATATCAACCAACATGTTGTGGATAAAGTAACGGATTGAAACATCTTGACATCACTTGTAAACAAATATCCGTTTCATTCCGTTTATATATATACTGGTTGGTGGTTTCACACATTGTTTATTTTCCATTTCATATATGGGATGTCATCCTTCCCATTGACGAACTCATATTTTTCAAGATGGTTAAAACCACCAACCAGCCATCTTTGGACCATGGCACATATGGTTTTTGAAGTCTGTAACTTTTTTTTTGTAAGCCTCAAATGGTTTTATAATGATACCACATAATATTCGGGACCGTTTGGAGGTTGTGGAAAATATTGCATAGGGGGATTGGATGATTGATGATAGTTTATAAAACCACCAACCAGATATCCATCAAACTGATGTCAACTCTTGGTTTACTGATCATTTGACCATCATGCATCGTGTCGGCGGAATCAGCGGGCATGACTTTAGGACTGTCCTCCGTCCTGAGGCTGGCGTGGAAGAGCCCGAGAAGAAACGAAAGATCATCGGAAGGCGGGAAGGGCTGAACTGCATGAGACCTTCCACAATCAATTGGGGATATAATATATATGATATACATATATATTTGGATATTATTTTTGAGATGAATTGATATAGATTGTTTCCGGACTCCAACTTTGGATGTCAGAAAATGTCACATTTCCACGCCCACTTTTTTTCATTTTGTTTTTTGTGGATGTCAGAAAACCTGTGTCACATACGATCATCCATGAATGTTTGGACTGGCATTGTATTCCTTGTACGGCTTAGTGATTTCTAGAGAAGTCAGAAAGTCACCCATTGTCCAGCCAACAGAAGCATCGACAAATAGCCCATTGCCATTTCGCAACCAAACTGTGTTGTGCCCTTTGCAAGCCACAACCATGAAGAGTCCACTATATGAAATGCCAATAAGATCCAATAAGCGCAATTCAGAATATTATATATATAATATAGTCAACCAAATATGTTGATATTCACCACTGGTGAACTTCTGTTGATTTAAAAACGTAAATATATTGACCTATTGACCTTTCCAAGGGAATGTCATTAAATTATATATAATTAGTTCCCATCCATCATCCATTCACCATACGCCTCACCTTACGTGGCCGTGGCAGTTGCTCAGGTTGTTCGTGGAGGCCTTTGAAAAGGCCGTCTCTGAAATGGGCTTGCCGCACGAGAGGTGCGAAAAAGCCGTGGAGCAGTGCCAAGTGCGGCTTCCGCGCCAGAGTAAAGATGGGAATTCATCCAACAAAAATGATGATTTATAGTTGATAATAAATGATAGATGATAATAATTGATTTAAGTTAGCTAAGTTGTTAAACACAAGTTCCAATGACTGTTGTGTTTACCATGGTATAGTTATATCGTACTAGTTTTCATGGGGGGGTAATATGAACCAACATAGGCATCACGTTTCGCGGCACCACCTTGTACAATGTGGCCCCCAGTTTTGTTTGTTGGTTTATAAACCTCATTAGATCTCATTAGCTATAGTTAGAAGCATCATAAATCATAGTGAAATTGGAGTTATGTTCACTAACTTAGCGATTTAGTTTGGAGGCCCTACTTTGTACCCTCTGGCAATTTAACATAGTTATGGAAAAACACCATTTTTAGTAGGTAAATCATCATGTTTATCGTCGAACTAAATGGGGCTTAGCTATGTTGAATAACCAAAGAGTAAGTTAAACCATCTAGATTATATCTCCGCTAAACCACCATTGGTCCATATGAATCCACTGTTTGGTGGTTTGGAACTATAGTTTATCTAAAATTAAGTTGGTTTATAAACCCCATTAACTATAGTTATAAGTACCATAAACCATAGTTATTGGAGTTATGTTCACCAACTTAGCTATCTTGGGGGCCCCACATTGTAGCTATTAAATGATTAAATGGATTATGGCCCATTATAAACTCACATAAAATGGAACTATAGTTTATCTAAAATATATGTGATATATAATTCATATCACTATAGATAATATATAATTATAGTGATTAATGTGATATATATATATATACATACAGTACTCCATATTAATCACTCCAACATCAACGGGGGCGGATTTGGCGTTCTGCGGAGCTCTCCAGGTGCTTGTTACTGCAGGGAACGCTGTACCCAGATGTCATCGAGTCCACCTCCTATAAAGGTGACGGGCATCAAGGGCGGCCTGGGCAAGGGAAAACCATGGGAACCATGGGAAAAAAAACATGGAAAAACACCATGTTTAATGGGAAAACTATGGACAGATCCACCATTTTTAATGGTAAACATAGAAAAAAACAATGGAAAATCACCACAGATCCACCATTTTTAGTAGAGAAATCAACGATTTCAACGATTTCTAAGGGCCATTTTCAAGTTCGCAAAGTGTTAGTCATTGCACCTCAGGACCATCCAGCGTCATCAAGACTCACCACAACGCCGCTTGGCGGCGGCTTCTGTGGCGATGGGTCAACGGCTTTTCAACGGCTTTGAATCGGGTTTTCATGGGGTTTTAATGGGTTTAGAGGGGAAAAACCATCGTTTTTCATGGGAAAATCAACTATAAATGGTGATTTAATGGGTTTTAATTGGGATTTACCCGGCCTGGTTATGACTAACAGTTAGCGAACTGGAAAGATCCACCATGCGATTAAGAACGGTAAACCATCTATTTCGATTAGGGCCATCTATACCATGGCTATGTTAAATAACCAGAGGGTAATGTGGATTTCATGGGGTGTCAATGGGTTTTAATGTATTTTTCAACTATGAAAACTATGGGGAGAAAGATTGACAAATGATGGTTGGTTGATGATGAGTACTATCTAGTGGGAGGGAACGGTGAAGGGAACTCATCATCAACCAACCATCATTTGTCAATCATTATCCCCATACAGCTATGGGTATCCATATTCCCTGCACATGTTTTTTTCTGTTAGGTTCCAAGAATCAAACATGTTGCTTCAACCGGCCAAAATTATGGGACTTACCCAATGAAATGACACATGAAAAAAGGGAACGTGATGTTTGAAACCATGGGAATTTTGGGTACAATTGTCAGACCAAGACCCGAATTGGACTGATGACTTTCAGGATGATTATTATTATGATTACCCTCTGGTAAACTAACATAGCTATGGAAAATCACCATTTTTGATGGGTAAATCCACTATAAATGGCAATTTTCAATAGCTATGTTAGTCATTACCAGAGGGTATTTGTGATCAAATGTCCATGCTATCAGGTCTCCCACGATCTTCCCACCATCTTCCATGCTATTTGTTATGATTATGATGAAAATGAGGGGACACCTATTCCTCCTGGGGCAATTTTTTCAATGGCCCCGGAACTCTCCATGCTCAGTCTGCTCAGTGTCTCCGACCAATAGCACCGAGATTCCAATGTAGGGCTCGTGGTTATTCATAGAATTAACCATACTCATTTATGTTTGTTTTCGCCATATACACATATAATATATGATATTATATTATATCATATCATATTATATTAGATATACATAATATATTATACTTTAATAGCCATAGCTCTCTTTCATGTCGAAATCCATAGGTTTCCTATGCACCAAAGTTGTGGCTTGTCAGGTTGGTGGCCTCCCTGACAGAATGAAGATGGAGGTTATTGAGCCCCTGAGGTATCGCAGCCGGTGAAGGGATAGCCTGTGGTAAGGATGGGTTTAAGGGAAACTTGGAACCGGAACCCCCCATATTTAGTAATTAAAACAATGATTTCCTTTAGATGTTCCCTTAAACCAATGAAATATGATAGCCTATATTAATATTTGGCAATGTGATGGTAATATGATGGGAATATAATGGTAATAGTGAGGTAATCCTATAAATAGCCTATGGACAGCCAATGAGGATATAATATACATACATGGACATACCATCGGATGTAATGCTAGGTTTATCATCGATTGGAGAAAATCCACGAAAGCAATGATGTCTTACCCTCTGGTAATTTAACATAGCTATCGAAAATGGCCATTTATAGTGGATTTTCCCATCAAAAATGGTGATTTTCCATAGCTACGTTAAATTACCAGAGGGTAATGTGACAATCATCGAACTTTTGCTGCTGGATTTTCTAGCAAGCCACATTTGATGACCGGAGGGTAGGCTGCAGACCCAAACGGGTCCCCACGGGTCAGGTGAAATCCAGTTCGTCAGCGAAGTTGATGATCAACTAGTATGGCTAGGCTTTATAATTCAGGCAAGCTTTCTGATTTATGTTAAGGGTTTTGTTTATTGGGAACATCCACAAACTAACAAAGTCCTTTTGTCAGATGGCAGACGGATGATTTTGGTTTGTTTGAATCAATGAAGTGAATCCTTGGGCAAGCCAGTGGCCACTATGAGTACAAACTCGTGTGATATAGTAGTAAAATCATTAAATTTATGTTTGGGAATCTCTTAAATCTTTGATGTAGTATATGGTACACCCAAATTCATAACTCCCAATGGCTGACCATGAACGGGTGGCAAGAATAATCCACACATGATAGGTTAATAAATGTTAATACTATATAGGTTTGTGACATTGAGTGCACGGACATTACCCCAAAAAGAAATCAACAGAGCAGAAACTCAGAATTTGCAAATTTATGAATGGTGGCTAAGTCAATATATATATATAAATCCCATGAATTATATATCCCATATCCCATTAATTGACCAGTAACAGACACCCTCGAAAATCACCAATGGCTGGCCTGTGCAGTGTTGGTTCAATTTTCCCTCCGTCATCCACCAGGGCTGTTGGAGGATCCAACGAAGTGTTGGTATTTGGAGGTCCCCCCCCAAAAAAACGGTAACTGGTGGCCCCCCCTATGGAATCCCATAAATTGGGTGATTTAACATGTTATACCGATGTTATAACGGGTTTTCACATGTTATAACATGCTATAACCTCACTCATCAGTTCTTAAGTCTAGTGGATTTGAAGTTGATTTATGTGGTGAACTAACCCTGACCAGTCCATGGACTCACGTCGCGCCAGACTACTCTTCAAGGACGAGGTCCGAGCATTGGGTCTGAAGCTTAGACCAGACCAGGCGAGCTCGTGTCGACGAGCCTCCAGCGAACATGGCTATGGAGTAGCCATTCAATGGCCATAATAAACCACCATTGGTCCATATGAATCCACTGGTTGGTGGTTTGGAACTATAGTTTATCTAAAATTAATGTGCCTATATATATATACAATGTGGGGCCCCCCAGTGATGTTAGTTGGTTTATAAACCCCATGAATACTATAGTTATAAGTACCATAAACCATAGTTATTGGAGTTATAAACCAACTTCGCTATCTTGGGGGCCCCACATTGTAGCTATTAAATTATTAAATGGATTATGGCCCATTATAAACTCACATAAATGGTTTAGCTACTAAAACATGGTGATGTTCGATAGCTATGTGAGTTTGCTAAAGGGTATATGGCTATGGATCAATAGCTGTTGACCCATCCCAATATTGATTGAATGTTTTTCCCCATCTTGGGGTTTCTTAAGTCATGGAGGACCTCCCAAAGTGGATGGTCTAGAATGGACAAGTCGACTAAAATGGATGATAAATGGGGTACCCCCATTTTAGAAAACCTCCAGATGCGTGTTTCTTAACTCATGGGGATCCACAAGTCACCATGGTGTGTTTCAATACTATAGTTATATAGTTTGGTGCATAATGACTTGGATAATTTGGGGGTACCCCCTATGACTTAGGAAACCTCCATATGTTACTAATGCAAATATCCCCTGAAAGTCTTATCATATTCACATTCGATGCTTTCTCCTTTTGCTGAATGAAATAGACCCATCAGCCGGTATCCTGACGGGCCATCCCAACCTACGTATTTGAAGCATTTCTTAAATTGGACCATATGGAATTATCTGGATATGAAACAAAGAGACCATAGAGATGGGATAAACAAGGACAATCAATATTAACTATAGATAGAAACCTTACATCCATATGTTTATACATAGGTACCCTCTGGTAAACAAACATAGCTATTGAAAATGGCCATAGAAATAGTGAGTTGTCCCATTAAAAATGGTGATTTTCCATAGTTTTGTGTATGTTTACCAGAGGGTATAACCACCATTTTCCTATGGTTTTCCTATGATTTTCCCATAAAACCACCATTTTCCCATAGGGTTTCAACTCGCTCGGCCTTCCAGGAAATGAGCTTGGACTTCCAGTGACATCCGTGCGGCACCCAACAAAAAAACCTGGTGGCAGAGGGATAAAAATTCCATTGGCACCGAAAGGGTGCCAAGAAACATATATGAACACCAATTAACCAATGGTAATGATATATATATATATACATATGTATATATATATATATATATATATGTATTCACATATTCACATATATATATATAGTTACTTTCCCAGTCATTATGTCATGGATCCAGTGAAAATGAGGTCCTTTTCGCCCAACTCATTCCAGATCTGGCAGTATGGAGTACTTCCCAGTTGAATCGCATTTGAAAACTGGACTTTTTAAAAACACAGAAATTCAACATAATCTAGTTAACAACGAAGGCACATAGATTATAGGATCTATATACATTTATTGAATATAGAATATATTGTTCCTATATGTTCCTGGCTTTGAACACGTCACCCAAATATCCAGTGGTTTCGAACCTCATTTTCCCGTTTTCCCTCTGAAATGTTCATTGGAAAATGGGATACTGTATACCCAATGTTCAGACACACCCATTTTCATGATATCTGGCTTTAAATCATGGTTTTTGTCCTGCTGAAATCAGTACGTGTTCACATTTGTTGATGGTGAAAGGGCCCATGTTTGATGGTAAGTCCACCATTTTCCAGGCGTGAAATGTCGAAACAAACTCTTATCGCCTCCAGTAAACAACTCTAAAAGTCACACAGTTTTGTTCAAATCCATCACAAGGTGGTGCCCCCCCAGTTATAAGTTGTTTTATACACCCCATTAACTATAGATATATCTACCATAAACCATAGTTATTGGAGTTATAAACCAACTTAGCTAACTATGGGGCACCACCTTGCATGAATGCAGATCATATTTGTTTAAAGGTTTTGTTGGGGACAATTTTGAACATCGACACTGGACCTCCCCATCTTTTCATGCAAGATGAGGCCCCCCTACAAGTTGGTTTATTTAGAACCCCCATGAATAGCATACTTATTATAGCCCCCTAATCAACTTATAGCATTCTCCTTTTGTCAACTGTGCGTCAACCGAGTCAAGCTAAGTCTTTCATAAACACCAGAAATATCTCTGAAACATATCTCATATCCCATGACGGATCCATGGTGCTGGTATATTAATGCTAACATAAAGGGGGTATATTGATGGGATCCATGGAGCGCCATATATAGCAGCACCAGCCGGATCCGTCATGGGTATGGGAAAAAAATATCTGGGATGTCACTATAAATCGAATGAGAAATCCACATACCCTCTGGTTATTTAACATAGCTATTGAACATGGCCTATTCATATAGTTGATTTCTCTATTAAAATGGTGATTTTCCATAGTTATGTTAGTTTACCAGAGGGTATCTCTGGGTTATCTCTCACTGCTTGTCCATCAGGTTATGAGGCATCCCTTCCCTGGACCTGGTCTCGGTATCCGCATCATCGGCGAGGTGGACAGTCTCTGGGGTTCTTTGATGGTTCACCCCCTCCATTTTTGATGGTTAACATTGGATTTTTCATCATTGACACATGTTAACACCCTATTTTGGATGGTTAACCCTCCCATTTTTGAGGGTGAAACTCAGATTTGTTGGACTTTTGATGTTCACCACCTCATTGTTGATGCTTTGTCCCAGCTTTGGCGCCGAAATTGGCAGGGCCTTTTGGGGACCCAGGGGACCCCAGGCCATCCCTGTTCGGAGGTCACTAAGGAGAGCGCGGACACCTTGTCCTTGGCCGATGACATCTATATCGAGGAGACCTGGCCGGTTCTGTTGGAAAAACCGGTCGTAGGAAACATGTTGAGAACTTCCAGAAGTGTTGGTTGTAGCGTTTTTTAGATGGTGTAAGTGTATAGCATAGAGATACATGGTGAGACAAATAATAGATATATATATATATATACACACATAATTACATATGCTGTACCCTCTGGTAAACTAACATAACTATGGAAAATCACCATTTTCAATGGGAAAATCCACTATTTCTATGGCCATTTTCAATAGCTATGTTAAATGACCAGAGGGTATACAAAGTCTTTAAACTGTCTGGACTTGGATGGTTAACCAGCCAAAAATGATATTGATAAGCGATTCATGCAAACGCTAAGTTGGTGAACATAACTCCAATAACTGTTGGTTTTATGGTAGATATATCGAACTAATTATATAAATTTTATATAATGGGTATATAAACCCATGAGGGTTATATGGGTAATTATGGTCAAAATCGTGGGGGACCCTGGTGAAAACACACCAACATTTACTGGGATTTATAATGATTAGATATTCATCCGAAACATGAGATATTAGAGGTTTTGATATGTTTTGATATGTTTGGACCCATTCCCAACCTGGCAAATCCTCTTCAAAGCCATGAATTCATTCCAGAGTATCTTGCAAGGCTAGAAGTTGAGGGAAGCAACAAATCATACCATCGGGTGTCATCAAATATCTCTAGCTGGGAAATCCCCTATAAATGAAGATGTTACTGGGATATCCATTGAACTAAACGGGACATATTCCAGCAAACCATGGTAAATAAAACGACTACGGACTCATCTAACAGTTTATGAATTGACAACACTTATGTAGTAATGATCTACCCTCTGGTAAACTAACGTAACTAATTATGGAAAATCACCATTTTTCATGGGTAAATCAACCATAAATGGCCATTTTCAATAGCTATGTTAGTTTACCAGAGGGTAACATGTTGATTACGGGAGGTTACTTCTGTGTTTTGCTTCATGAACATGTAGAAGTTGGTGCAACAACGATCGTTTGCGAAGTTGGATGCTACATAATTCCAATATATTACAATAACTGCTGATGTTTTGTTTACATATACATATATATATATATGTATATACATAATACTATATATATATGTAATATATATATATATATGCTATATATACACTATATCATATATATATATATTATATACAATATATATATATATACTATATATATACAATAATAATATATATATATATATATATACTATTATATGTATATACTATTTTATATACACTATATATTATATAGTATATTTACTATATACACAAAAAATGGTGGTACTGTAACATCAACCAACATTGCCATCATGGGGAAACCAGGAGCTCCGAAAGAATGGTCATTATGACAAGATCGGTCAGGCCTTTTTTGCGCGGAATATGTTCTTCTGAAGGTGTGCTTTGGTCACGGGGATATGGAAGAATTATATGCAGAACATGGACATCCTTGATTATGGGGAATTGTATATATATATGTAATATGGAAGAAATTGATATATGTAAGAATGGACATATAACATCATACAACCCACAATATCCCCAAATTCTTACACCCTATCACATACCCTTTGATCCTATGGCTAGATATCAAGAAGCAACAAAATCTGGAGTCGGACCTGACAGTTTAGTTCAAGTTGCGGCCCAATGTAATATTATATATATATATATATATCTTGAATCCTCTTCACTTTCTTGGGGAATCAGACAGCTTATACATCCGAAAACGCCAACCTTTGGCGGCTAGTAATCTCCCCCTATTAGGGTAGACGTGAAAATTCATGGGATAGTATTGCCATGTTTGCCATATGGGGGGTTACAATGTGGCCCCCCCCAGTTATAAGTTGGTTTACAAACCCCATTAACTATAGTTATAAGTACCATAAACCATAGTTATTGGAGTTATAAACCAACTTAGCTATCTTGGCGGCCCCAAATTGTAGAACTTCTCATTTTTTTGGATCAACATCATCAACGTCCACACATCCCAGCGGCCTGCCGAGTACCAGGGTCGGTTACCACCGCAACGGGACCGACTCGGCAGGCCTTTGCAGTTCTGCTCCCAACGGTGCGTTCCGTGGGTGTGATGGGTGACCACAGGAGCGATGTGACGGGATCACGTCATTTGAGGCGCGTTTTGAAGCCCAAAAATGCTATTTCAAAGCTCATAACCACAAAAATGAGGGATATAGTTTCTTGATAATTGATGATAATTGATGATTGGAGGGTGATTATCTGAATTAGAAAATGGGTTTGAACGCTGCTCATTTCAGGATCGCTTTATTTCTATCCCTGAGTATCCCCAGCTTTTTCTGAGTTATGTGATCAACGGCCCACTTGTGAAACTATAGAGCTAAAGCGCCATACAAGGCCATATTTTCCACCTTCGTCCCTTCTCTAAAGAATGAAATACCCCTAAAACTGAAGGTATTGACATGTAATGTCAACCCCGATGAAACCAGTGTTTATTAACTAGGGAAGTACTCCCGAAATAGATCGAGATAGTGCAAATCTGATGCTTCAATTAAATAGTACAGTACAGTAGCCCCATCAATTAAACAGCCGTTTGGGGTTTATCAATCCAGGGTTGACCAGACTATGTTTGGCAACTGACTAGCTACAGCGAATACAATTCCCAAACAATATTCAGGCTAGGGATGGCTAGGGCCCAATTGAAAAACATTGTCAAAATCTAAGCAAGGTCGGATGATTTCATGTTTCCCAACTTTTTCACTATTCTCCAAGCAATCGTGTGACCAATCGTGTGACAAGAGACATGTTCAGGGCAAATAAGGTGCTTGAATGATTACAACATGTTACCCTCATGTAAACTAACATAGATGTGGAACACCTACATGTGACAGATCATTTTTCAAGGGGCACCCAAAAGGGGTTTTACACATTTTTGTTGGACTGTTTACATTGTTTACCCGGAAAAACCGTTTGGAAAGTTGCTGTTGCTCCAGCGCAACCGGTCAGCGTTTTTTCAGGACATACGAGAACGTCTGCGTACTGAGAGCAGTGACCACCACGGATTTCATGACCGCCACGACCTGAGTGATTTTTCGATGGGTGAAAGATATGTACGGCGTGGGGAAATAACATGAAATAACCCCAGGGCCCCAGATCCTTAGCATTCCGTTAGAGTGTAACTGGTTGGTGGTTTGAAACATTTATGATTTTCCATTTCATATATGGGATGTCATCATCCCAATTGACGAACTCCATCATTTTTCAAGATGGGCACATTGCACCACCAACCAGCTAAGTATAACAAAGGACCGAAAAAATGATTCGGCCGGTCAAAAAAGTAAACAGTGGCTTTCCAGGGGTTGGTAACTGTCCCATTTTGGGTATATTGGACATCACCTTATAGTAGCCATTATAGACCATATACCTAATGGTTGGGTGATGTTCAATGGGGACATTTAATGACCCATGCTTTCAGCTTCAGATGTTGGGGATGGCAACAGTGAACAAGCCAAAGACGGAGATTTTTTCGGCGAACATCTGTTGGACATCGACCAGAATGGGTTCGCTTTACACAAGACGGAGATTTGTTCACCAAACAGACCTAACAGAATCAATAAAGAACTGTAGAACTGGAAGTTTCCATATTTTGGGGGGACCCCCCATAGCTGGTTGGTTCATAATGGAAAATCCCAATATATGAATCATTTAGAGGTACCGCATTTCAGGGAGTTGGACCAAGATTACTGGAATCCCCAAGTGATTGGTTTTTTGGAACAGAGCATATGGAAAATGATGGACCATTGAATCTATGAATCTATGAATATAGATGATTTACCATGGACTATGGCCTATGAATCTATGAATATAGATGATTTACATTGATTTACCATGGTTTAAACATCGATTTACCTATGATTTACCTATAGGTTTACCATTGGTTTTACCTCTACCATCCAATGGATGTTTGATGTTTCCACCTACGCCGTTTGCTGAGGCGGATTGGTACGACATGCCACATGATGTGCTGGCGCGCATCTCAAATCGTATCATCAACGAGGCCGGCCCATCTTTATGGGAAAATATGGAATATAATATCCATAGTTTTTTTGGAACATATCACTTGACCATGGTTTATAATGGAAAATGACTTTATTATAATGGTTCGAAGAAGTGTTGATGGATCTTGATGGCCGATGGAAAAAAAGCAACTCTTAAGCTCTTTCATCATACTACTATTACATAATTTATTACGTGCATTCGTACCATGGCTGCTATTTGTTTTCATTCTTTAAGTTTCAACCATATTTGTTTGCTCTGATCATATGTTTTTCGGTTCAGCGTGCGCCAATCAGATTGCCAAGTGCCATCCTGACATGGGGATGAACGGGTCATTTTCGCTGTCTGTTCATTCCAAATGATTCCAAATCAGCCTTCAAGGGTAGCTGTGTTGATTGGTTACTATCGTTGGTTATTCACATTTATTCACCTACCTGATTTATTGGGGACGATTGTAATACATTTCACATGGATACCTAGTAGTCCCATACCCCCGCTTTCATCTCAAACACCCCCCAGAAACCCTGTTGGAATGAAAAGGATGAAACCACATTGGGACCATAAAATGTGTTTTTTTAAATATCAACGGGGGATGTGGTTAATTGTCCAATTATTATCAACCTCATTACTGTAACATGAATAACTAGCTAGAAACTTACATAACTAATAATTATATAATGGTTAGTATTACTAGCTAGAAATTGACACAACCCATAATTAATAGCTAAATAGTAGTAATAGTTATTGAAAATAATTGCAATGAGAAAATTATGTCACCATGGTCACATCCCATGAAGAACTCCTGGCCATTTCAAGAAGCGACAAGCAAACTGGAGCGACAAATAAGACGATCCCCCATGTTTTTGGCTTTAGATGGTACAGTACCTAATAAAATCATATAACATCTAACAAATATATCATCAGAACTACCATTAGTTAGTACCATTAGTTATATAGTACCATTAGTTAGTACCATTAGTTGCTACCATTAGTTAGTACCATTAGTTACTACCATTAGTTAGTACCATTAGTTACTACCAGTACCATTAGTTAGTACCGTTAGTTAGTACCATTAGTTAGTACCATTAGTTAGTACCATTCGTTAGTACCATTCGTTAGTACCATTAGTTAGTACCATTAGTTAGATACCATTAGATATAAGTGAAAGATATTCCAATATACCATGAAAGATACCATGAAAGATATACCATTAGATATGCCGATATACCTTTTTCGAAATACCACTACCATTACCATTAGATTAGATACCATTCGAATCCACATAATTCGAAATCCCATTCTACAATGTGGGGCCCCCAGACGATAGCGAAGTTGGTGAACATACCTCTAATAACTTTGGTTTATGATACTTATAACTATAGTTAATAACTAAACCATGTTATGGGCCCCCCCTAGTAGAATGGTATTGAAAACCATAGTATCATAAACCATAGTATCATAAATCATAAACCATAGTATTTGGTATGTATTTGGTGTATAAACCAAATTGTAACCTAGTATGTTACATGAATTATAACCATACTATATATATATATACCATATTATAATTATAGATTACCATACCCAGATGCTCCATGTATGAAATATCTACCTACATTTGGGCAATTTTTAGGGTAAATGTAGGTAAATATTCCATACATGGAGCATCTGGGGATACTATAATACCATACTATAATTATAGATTATAGATGATTATAGATTATAAATACTTTAAGTCCATACTATATAAATCATATCATAGTTATAGATTGCCATACTACAATAGCACATTATATAGTCCATATCATATATGACCTATACATATTTCGAATTACCATATCATAGTTATAGATGTCCATCATATGTGGTATATCATATTACCATATTTCATACCTTACATATGATAACTCCAATTTCACTATGGTAAGAATGGTAGATATATCGAACTAGTTACTATGGTAAACTAACGTTCACATCACTGGGGGGGCACCACCTTACTATATATAAAACATATCATAGTTAAATACCATACTATAATTCTAGATTATAGATGATTATAGATTATAAATACTATAATTCCATACTATATAAATCATATCATAGTTATAGATTACCATACTACAATAGCATATTATTACTATAGATTTCCATGGCCCCACCTTCGAAATCCCCCAAAAAACCACAGCTCCCACCGTGTGTTTTCCAGGTCAAAGGCATCAATCGCGTCTGCTATGACGTGTCCTCCAAGCCTCCCGCAACCATCGAGCCGGGTAACCCAAATTTTCCAAGAGCTGGATGGCTTGAAATTTCTTGGCAAATCCTATAAAATAATGGAAAACCACCCTGTATATATATATATATATAGTGTTATATGATACTATTTATCAAACATTGCCCAATGTTTTTTTTTATCATTGGAGTGTTTTGGGTATAACTTGTTTTTGTGTTTCAACAACTGATTTATTGCTATCTTGCCATGTTTTTCTGGTTCCCAAGTTCATTGCAAAAGCAAACGTGGCAAAAACTCTTTGCAATCCTTATGGATCTATTCTGAATAGATTTGCAGTGCCCAGTTTGAAAAACGGTCATCAACGGTCGTCATGGCTCAGGTGGGAGTGAGCTCTTCCAAGTTTCACTCAACTTCGATTTCAAGACGCCCGTAGGTCATCGCTGCAGGTCGTCGGGGTTTCCCAGTCAAGCGAATTGGACAATGACCCATGTTTTCTCTTGGCAGGATAGGATCTTGTACGTCTTTAGGATGCTGTAAATGTGATATGTTTAGAGGAGAACATACATGTGCATATATGTGCGTCATTTTCTATCACTACTCAGCTGGAAAGTCGATCAGAAACAATTGCAATAACTTGCAGTTTAAATTGTGGAATGGGTGTGATGTCCAGAACAGTGGGGCTTCAGAAGCGGTGTGTATTTTCGTCAGTTCGATTTTGGCCGTTTAGACCACTTGTTGATTATACCATTATGCAATATTATACTGAGTCATGGTTCTACAAGACTTGCAAGAAAACATATCACTTGAGTAGCTGGGAAAAAATGGTAAAACAGGGATGCTGGGACATCCCAGCGTTCATTGTTGGTTGTTATGGTTTTTATGTTGTTCAATGTTTCATCCTTACCTTTGATGTTTTATGTGGTGGAGGTTCTGGGGCTATTTTCTTGTTAAGTGTTCATCGTTTCCTGTTTCATTATTTTGTTAAATCTATTGTTGATGTTCTTTCATAATGTTTTTGTTGAGGTTATTGCGTTTATTGTTGAGGTTGTTGTGTTTTTTGTTGTTGCTGTTGCAGTTTATGTTTTGTTCAGATTAGGCCACATGTATTCTACTCAATGCATAAACTGTTTCAGTTTTTTTTTGGCGGACTGCCCAACGGAACTCCGTCCTACTCTCAATCTTTGTGGACTTCAACGGCTTCTTCGTAATTGTCATGCCGGGTTTCCCAGAGTGCAGTGGGTGCGCTTGAACAAAAAGTCTCCCCCTGCTTTGCACATGACATTGTGGCACTGGACACAGGCGTTGCCCCCAGGAGATTGCACAAAACCAGTTGTGCCTTCGTGAGCAGACATCTAACCCAAGTGCAAATGGTCATGTTTTGCTTTTCAAAATTTCTTTCCCCTCACGTTTGCCATGGATGATGATGCTGGAGCGAGTTCAGAGAGTCCAACATTGAAGCAGGCACCGACCAAATTGGAAGAGGCACAGACCAAATTGAAAGAGGCACAGACCGAATTGAAAGAGGCACAGACCAAATTGGAAAAGGCACAGACCAAATTGGAAGAGGCACAGACCGAATTGAAAGAGGCACAGACCGAATTGAAAGAGGCACAGACCGCATGGCTGAATGCAGAAAGAGACAAAGACATCCACGAGAACATCGTGCAGAGTGCCAAAGAAAATGTGCAGAGTGCCAAAGAAAATGTGCAGAGTGCCAAAGAAATGCGTGATTTCTGGTTGCACCAGCAAGGCGCCCCGGCTCAGTCTTCGGAAGGACTTCTTGCGAAGAAACTGGACGGGCTCAAGGACGAGCTCAAGGACGAGCTCAGGGAAAGACTGGGGCAGGTGGCTAAAACTGAAGCGCTGCTGATGGAGGCCTTCTTGAACCGATACACTGGATACACTTTGACACCGGTTTCACACTACTCATCAGCCACACTTGATGGACACTGGCATCAGCGTGCACAGGAGTACTACAACACACGGAGTTGCCTTGTTCTCCAAAACCTTTTCCCAGATGACTTTAAAGTGAAGCCTCGGTGGTTACATGAAACGGGTTGGGATTCCATCTTTCCAGCCGTCGCTGCGCACATTATACCCAAAAATGGCTACAACTTCGTCCAGAATGAATTGAGTACTGAAATCGACAGTCCTCGCAATAGCATACTGCTTCTTCGCCATTTAGAGCATACATTTCAGGATGGAGATTGGTCTTTGATTCCTGCGGAGAGAAGCAGCGGAGCGGTGAATTTTAAAATCTATGTCAGCCAAAACTTGAAGGACATGAACGTGAATTTCATTGACGAAAATGGTGATTCTTCAGAAGCGGTTCGTGTGAGGAAGGGGCAGGCCCTGCAACCGTTGAAGTTCGGGGACTTGCATGAGCATGAGCGCGACTTTTGGGTTGAGCCACCGCCCTTTTTGAAAGCGAGGATGGCATGGCAGAAGCATAAGGAAGATGATGACCCTTTGCCCGACCCAACTCAATTCGCAGACACATTCTCAGACTTTTGTGACACATGGAACGATTTTATGGTTGGCAAGTTTTTAAGCTCCATCCGGCAGCTGAACAGTGCTGGGGGAACACAATCCCCATGATTTTGGAAACACCTTCAAAAGACTGTTTCGCAGACAGGGTGAATGGAGAAAAACAGCGTTCTCTTGCCTCAGGAGGATTTGTCAAGCAAACTTTGAAAAGTAGTGTTGTTAAGGAACTTCCCAAGACAACTGCAACAATCAAAGTTCTATTTGAATACCAAGTATCAATGATACCCTGCTACCAGTACCCACATATCAATGACACCCAGAACCAAGTATCAACGATACGCTGAACCAAGTATCAATGATAACCAGATACCAGTATCCAAGTACCAATGATACCCAGATACCAGGATCCAAGTAAGAACAACAATACCCAGAAGAAAGTATCAATGATATCATGATACCAATATCCAAGCATCAGTGATACCAAAAATAGAGTATCAATGATACCCTGATACCAGTATCCAATTAGGAGTGATACCCGAAAGAAAGTGTCAAAACAAACGATGAGATGTTTGGGCTCGTGTTGCACGACCGCACGACCTGTTCCATTGACACAAGCACAGAAGCCCTTGGCGTCATTAATTTGATACCATTTGGTCTATTTCCGTGTCATTTCCTCAAGCCTTTGCTTGAAAGACTGTCAGGGCAGTTTTGACTGGCATTTAGCACTTTATAAGTCCATCCAACCGACAGTAAAGACTTGAATTCACTTGAGCCATTGTCAGCCACAAAGACTTTGCTTGACTCGTGTTTTGAACGGATTTGACGCGTTCTGTCTTCACGTGGCACTGTTGGCATTGGCGTTCGCCATTTGGAGCATTCCATTTTTTTCCATTTCAGTTGCCTTGACCCACGACTGTCCTTCAAGCCGTTCGCACCCGACCAAGGTTGAGAAGTCATCATTGTGACCTTTTGAAGGTGTGTGCGAATTGTTGTCAAAATTTCAAGGACTATTTTTTCGATAAGGGTTCAACCAAAGACTGGAAGGAATGACGTTGACAAACAGCCTTCAAAACAAGATTTGCGGTGGATGATTTCATCCTTTTTTAGGGGGCAGTATTTATCCAATACCTCGGGGACACACATTATTTGAACCCACACATCCCATGCACACACACACATACACATTCACACCACACGACTTCATTTTCATCACTTCGGTTTGGCATTGCTTGGGAAAGGATGGGATGGTGTGTTTAAAGGGTATAATGAAGATATATAAAGTATATATGGTTGGTTTTTTTGTCTTTGAGACGGTTTTAGGGTTGATATATCAAAAGAAAAATGCTCTTATTGCGAAGGGCAACGGTTAGGAGCGAATGGGATTGATTGAGCACACTGCCGTTGCCCTTAAAATGGAAAAACTAAATTTTGGGGAGAATGACCCAAAGAACTTTGGGGATGAGTGCGTTGCTTGGCAAGATGTCATATTGAGACTATTTGTTTATAAGACACCACCCCCTTTTGGGTTACGTGGCAGGAACAGCACTTTGGAATAGATTTCGTGGCAGGTGGCAGGAACAGCACTTCGGGACAAATCGTCACGCAAACCATTTCGCTGAGCACCCAACCCCAATTTTCATCAAAATATGACTATACTAAATCCCTCGGTTTCGACACAAAACCCCAAAAATACTTAAAGACAAGTCGCCTTATATAATCAAGAATTAAATATGCCCTGCTATATATGGTAATTGATGGAAAAAATAAGAAATGGACGAAGACGTCTTTGACCAAATGGTTGAAGCACTCCACAACCCCACAAACACCTATGACCCCCCAATCCCAACAACAACACACAGTCGTTGGAAACCCAACGGAAGTTATGACAAGAAACCATTAGACCCAGACTATTTTTCAAAATACTATCAGAAGAAACTATCAAAACCATTCCAATGCCCAGACTGCGGACAGACAATCAGCAGTAGATCCAATCTTTCGAAAAACCGTCAAACCAAGAGATTCATGGGCAAACAAACCCACTGTTGAAATCCGAAACCTTCTCAATAACAACGATTTCTATTGAGAGCGTTTCTATGTTGAAGTCCACCCCCGGTCCCAAGACCTCCAACACCAAACCCCTGCCCAAAACTACTTAAAGAAATGCCACCTTATAGGATAAGGAGAAAATGGCAGAGGATACAAGGTTGAAACATTCAACAGACATGTTATATTTTAAAAAACAATCCAACAACCAATCCAATCAACCACAACATCCTCATCAAGCAATTCACACTGAAAAACTACTTAAAGAAACATCCACTAATAATAATATTGATTATACTATAATGTACACTTCACAGCAGATTGTTTTAGATTATCTTTTGTCATCCGAAAAGGGTGAGATATTGAAACGGAATGGAGAAGAACTCAAGAAACTCAAGATTGGAGACAAGACCTACAACTTTGAAAGGGGGAAACCCATTTCAAAGAGGTTGATAACAAAATTCAACAAAATTAGGCAGACAATGGACTACAAAAAGTATGAACTGAAAGAGAAGAGAGGCATTAGATGGGTCAATCTGGACAAGAACAAAGCACTCACAGGCATTCAAATGAGATACAAAGCAACCACCACCAACGAACAATCTGCTTTCAAAGGTTATGTCAATTTGTATGCCATCACTAACATCAGGGTTAGAGGCATAAAGGCACTACAGTATCTCAAATACCAAGATTTGAGGTTAAAAGAGTATTTGAGGAAACACAATGGAATGAAGGTTATGCTACAGGTCTTCGCCACTTTGAAGAGTAAAAAGACTAATGAAGATGTAAGACAAGTCATCAAGAGTAGAAGATACAACATCGCCAACGAGGGTGAAATAGCCAATGTTCTTAATCAGAT